CCTCGGCACTCTCCCACCCAAGGCTCTGACTCCAGCCACAGCTGAGTCCCTCCCCTGTGTCTATCACAATGACCATTTCTCTTCCATGTGCAGGCCCCAATTTCTTCTAGTGACCCAGCCTTGGGGAAAATCTTGAAGGCAAGTGGGACTAGGCATCAATTTAGTAAAACTTAATAAGATGAACCAGTGCTAACCATTACTTCTGTATTTTTGAGAAAAGTCCCAACTGGGAGTTCTAATTGTCCCTAAAATAGCCTGAATTCCACATGAAAATGATGGAAGGAGCTTTCTCCACTAGAAGACACCTGCCTGAAATCTCCACACTGACCCTGGGCAAGTTTGGTTTCCCACTCAGAGAGGCAAAATGGAGGTGTGTCTTGGTGGCAGGGTTCCTGTGTGTGCTCACATTTCTTGCAGGGGGAAAAAAAAAAGTATGTCTAATGATAGGTTGATTAGACGGGACATTTGGAAATTATACTGGTATGTATGCTTTTTCATATTGTGACACAAGGGACCACATATGAAAAACCAATGAGCATGTTTCATGAAACTATTCAGTTCAGGCCTCTTCTAGTATTAAATTATTTCTGTCAGAATAGAGGTGGGACAGTGGTGATATGACATCCCATCAGGTATTGAATTGTGTGGTGCCTTGTCCTTTCTGCAGGAGTGAAAAGATTTATCCCCTACCTCATTTCTCCTCAGGCTCTGAATTTTATTGTCTTAGAGAGTTAGGCCAGACTCAGGTGGTCAGACGAGATGAAAGAACACCTGTTTCCTTTGTGTTCAGAGAACCAATTGTAACCTCATCAACTCAAGGGCTCCTGCTGACCCATATGTGTAAAATGAGTAAGAGGGACATATTTTCTCATTTAGTCAAGAACCAAAGACCCTTGGCTTGAAATGGCAGAAGCATGATGTACAGGCCTGTGGTAATCTATGTAAATCACTCACTCACTCTCACTCACTACCATTGAGCCAGTTCCGACTCATAGCGACCCCTCCTTGGGTTTCCGAGGCAGTATCTCTATGGAAGTAGATTGCCCAGTCTTCTTCCCAAGGAGTGGCTGGTGGGTTTGAAACTGCCAGCCTTCTGGTTAGCAGTCAAAAGTCTTAGGCACTACGTCACCAGAGCTTCTATGTGTATATCTACCCCTCTACATATATGCATGGGGAAAAAAAACATAATTTTAATCTTTTAGATATTTGGAAGTGAACTGTACTACTGGATGAACAGTTGTTTCCTATCCACAGCAACCACAGAAGTGGCTTTACAGAATTGCTCCCACGTAGATGAGAGCAGCAGGCTTCTCTGTAAGGCAGTGAGTAACATTTGGCTACACTATTGTGAATGAATGACACAGTATTATACATACACAGGGAAAAGGATTCAAGGCCCAGATACATAAGTCAGTCAGTGGCATAAGGACAGTGCTTTACAGTAAGGTTCTTCTTGGATGAGCTTCCTCCTTTTAAAATGGGATTCTTCCCCTGCAGAGGAAGAATATGGAGTGATTTGAATGAGGAGGCAGTTTGAACCCACTAGCTGCAGTCTGCTTCTGTAAACATTTACAGCCTTGAAAACCCTATGGGGCAGTTCTACTCTGTCCTGAAGGGTCACTATGAGTCAGAATCGACTCGATGGCAGTGGGTTGGGTTGGGTTGGGTTTTGGCCACCCTGAAAGCATGTGGTTGTGTTTGGACTGCACATCTGCTTCAACAGCATTCGGTGCATGCCCTCAAGTCTGCAGCTGAGCACACTATACCCTATGTGGACAAGGGGAGGGATTTCCAGAAGTACTCAACAGTTCTCCCAACAATTCCACATCAACACAAAACAGAACCAGACACTGCACAACACATTAACTCTCTAAATATTTCCCTCTCCTTGCCAAAGACCTCTGGTAAGATACCTCATCCAAAGAATTGTATGGAAATGAATTCTGTGCTGGACACTTACTATTTGCTATCAAGTAAAATGAAGTGTAAGGTAAGCCATCCAAGATATCTTAGTACTGAGTACCTTACTTTCAGAAAGGTCTCATTCTGAGGTGTGCCCCATGCCTCCAGCCCAGCCCAGGCCCCTCAGAGTCATCCTCCAGGCAGTCACCAAAGGGAGTTTACTAAAATGCAAGAATGCAGCTTTTATCATGACTATCCTGAATTAAAGCACTCTGCAACTCCAAACCCCTCCCATGATAAAGGCTTGCTCCTCTGCACTTTATCTAAGTTTCTTCATGACCAAGCCCTGCCCACCTCTAAAGCAAACTACTACCCTGCCTTGCCCATCATGCTCCAGCAAGGCTGAATGACTCTGTGGAACACGTCATGGCGTTCTGTGCTTCCCTGCTTTAGTACATGCCCTTCCCTCATCATGGAATGCCTTGCCTACCCTACATCTTCCTGAAATATTCCTTTGTTTTGAAAATTATCATTTCTTTCAGGAAGGTTTCTGTGGCCTCCAAGATCATTATCTATTGCTTCCTTATGCCACCTCTGTATCCTAGGCCTGTTTTGTGGTTTGTCTATCCACCTGCCATTCTTACAAACTTCTTGAGGGTAGGAGCTGTGTGCCCTAGCCTCACACCTGGCCCATGAGCCAAGCTCAGTGCATGGTTTTTGAAAGCATGAGAAGTGAACAAATTGATAAGTAAAATATGGACCCATGCCATAAATTCCAAGGATGATGCTCCAGCAAGGTGCTGGCATTTTCACTTATATCGGGCCTCACTGCTACAGAGGAAATAAGGAGAATCTGTTGGGTACAGAGTCAACCAGTGTCATTTCCAAACTACAACCACTCAAATACAAAAAGCTGCATCCGGGCTTGTGTCCACGCCACACTTCCACAATACTGTCTGCCACTTACTATTCTACTCACAATGATTGTTTTCTTTTCATGTCAGCATAATGCCTGACCCTTAATGGGTACTTAACAAATATTGTGAAAGGATGAGTGAATTAATATGAAATCTATTTTTTAAAGAAGGCATCAAGGATTGGCTTTTAAAGGCATTTCCCACACCACATGTTTTTCTGCGGCACTGGCGTTCCTGACCATGGCATTGTCTCATCAGAAAGTGGGAAGGGGGGGGTGCCTAGGGCAATGGTTAGAGAGAGATTATTGGGTTTTCCTTCGTCATATGTCAGTTTCCTTTTCCTTTCTTCTCATGAAATAGTCCAACTATGGGTAGCATTTCCAGTCCCAGCCAGAGGCTCTTGCCACTCCTGTATCCAAAGGCCACACTAGCATCGTCACAACTACCTAAGCAGGAACTTAACATGCACCCATGAAGGTGGGCACAGATAGTGTCCTATGTCGATTTTAAGTGCTGACATTATGCAGTGAAGACCACTCATGGAAATGGGGTCTGGACTGAAACCACCACCCTTGGGGATTAGTTTTCTGCTCACCATAGCTGTTAAATGTAAGAACTCTGGACTCAGTCTGATCTGGATTCAAATCCAGGCTCTGGCTCTTACTAGCCGAGTCACCTGGGGCAAGTCAGTTATCCTTCTGGGACCTCAGTTTCCTCACCCACAAAATGGGAGTGATTGTACCCACCTCACAGAGTGCTGGGAGGATTAAGAGAAGGAATGTATATAAAGCCTGCACAGTGCCTATCCAAAGCAAATGGAAAACTATGATTAAGAGCTTTCAAAAATATTGTTTACAATACGCAGCCCAAAAGAGAAAAAAATATTCTGTGACGACACTGTACTTTAAAGAGAACGGATTGTCTGATTTTCAGGAGCCAACATTGTTCATTAATAAATGCCCATGGAGGAGTATGAAAAGATAGCACTGGCATTTAAAACAGAAGCTGTAGCTATTACCAGGTGCCAGGATGGACAGACAGTGACAGGGCCAGGGACATCCAAGCATTTCTCTGACAGCTGGTCCAAAAAAATGAATCTTGAAGGGCTCATCTCTGATCCTCCTCTGCTGGACTCAGAGGGAGCCAAAACCCCAAAGGTGCCAAGGTCAAGATGCCAAGGCAGGAGGGCACCAGTCCTGATCTGTGAGCAAATGGTTCTGAGTGTGAAGGACCGTCAGGAGACACCTCACTGTAAGACAGGAGCAAGGAAGGCGTGTAGGGCTGCACTGCTGTGTGTGTCATGCAAAGCTAGAAAGGAATAGCATTGCCACGATCCTCCTTGTACAACTCAGAGCCAACAGAGAATCCAAATTTATGCCCTGAGCATCAACATTTTTCTATGCTAAATTTAGTTTTAGTTTTAAAGTGCCTGAAATGCACAATTTGAATGAGTCAAGTTCCTGGCATCTGACATCAATTAAGCCATACTCAATCCTTAGTCTGACTTGGCCTTCCCTTATGTCTGCCAGCTCTTACAACTCTTCCACCTGTCACTCCAGAGGTTCCATGAAGAAAGCTCAGGGTCAGTGGTTGGGGAAATACAAGCTAAGCCATCAGCCCTTGGGAGCAAATATTAACTTCTGTTATAGGGGTCAATTTGTATGGTTACTTGGAGCAGCAGGGCAGGACCCTAAATGGAAAAGAGAAGAAAGGCTTTTAAACGTGGTGATCTCTCTAACAGCTGGAGATTGCATTCTCTTACAGAAAGTGAATCTTGCTCAGGGGAAGCCTCAACCTCTCTGATTTAGCTTGAGCCTGTGAGGGCTTGTGACCATCTGGCCTCCATGCCCTGGGCTCAGATGGATGGGCAGCATCCTCACAAAGGTGGCCCACAACGAGGCAGTGTTGAATAGTGGAAAGAGCACTGGACTGGGAGTCAGAAGACCTGAATTCTAGTGCAGGCTCTGCCGCTCACCAGCTGTGTGACCGTGGGCATGTCACCTGATTTCTCTGGGGCAATTGTAAAATGAGGGGTTGGCAGGGTGATCTTTAAGATCCCCCTCAGAATGTGATCCAGGGTCCTATATCACCCCTCCTTGGCCCTGTGCTTCAGGGACAGAGATGGGAGAAGGGGAAGGGAGGAGATTGAAGTTGCAGATGGGAGCCCATGGGTGCCATGCATCAGGACTCCACTTTCTCCTTCTTTTTGCTCTTTTTCAGGAAGGATGGGGTTCGGAATTTCTTTTTCTTCTTTGAGGGAGACTTGGAAGGTGAGCCCTCTGGGGACATGGGGCCACTGGTGATGGACTCGGTTTTGTCCTTGGAGGTATCCACATCTGTGTCGGCGTTGGTGGTCATCTGACTCAAGCCTTTGCTGAGGATTTCCTCCGCAGTCTGCTCCTCCTCCCTCCCGTTGACCACCACCTCTTCTGGCTGGGTTTTTTCGGGCTCTGTGGGGGAGTTGCTTGTTTCTGTCTTCTTAGTACCTTTCAGAAAAGGAGAAAATGACACGAGCTATAAGATTACATTCAGGTGTGAGCTTTGCCCTGAGGTTAACAGAATCATTTCTAGGCAATTCTATAAACTAAGTCTAGAACAAGTGAGGGGCGGACTGACATTGTAGGGGGTTGGGGTGGAGCAAGGGTCTCAGAGACAGAAGGATTGGATGCTCATCCAATCTCTGTATCCCCTGCCCCAGGGAATGAGTCTTTGGCAGGTCAGTAACTCTGGGTTCTTGTCTATAAATTTAAACAGATATTGATGTCTGAATATGGCAGGGGGCCCAGCTGGAGCTCAGTTCAGAGCTTTCCTAGGTGCAGAAAGAGGGAAGAGATGCAGGGGAGAAGAGAGGCTGTAGGAGGGGGAACAGTGCCACGGACATCTCAGTGGAGAGATCTGAGAGCTGTTCTAACTAGTTCAATTTCAACAATAAAAATTTAGAAATTACATGTTTTCAAATTCATTCATTTCCTACATGGGGGAGAAACTTTTGGAAATATGGAGAACACCTTCCCACCAGGAAGAGAGGGGAGGGTGGAGGGAGGCTGGAAATCCCGGAGTGACATGGATCCCTTCCTTTCTGACATATAAGGATTAACACGACAGGGAGGACCCTGGTTGGCCTGTCCTAGCAGCCCCTAAGGCCCCTGAATCTTTATTCCACTGTGGAAGAGACCTGTTAGGATGGCCACCATGAATGGACAAGGCCAGACTAATCAGACCCAGGAAGCAGGAAGCGCAGCCCTCCTGCTGCCCTCTATCACCTTCCCACCCTGCCCCACCCTGCTGCCACTCAAACTTTGAAATGCCTATATGGGTGGAGGGAAGTTATAAAATCGTAGATTTTGAAAAGCAGAAAGGAATGTAAAGGTCATCTAGCTCACTTTATTGAGTTTACTGAAAACTCAATAAAACAGTAGGTAGATGCAGTCTCTGCCTTCTAGTCCAGTGTTCTTGTTACAAAATGAAACTGAGAGGAGTGTATTTGTGTGCATGTGTGTGTGCATTTGCACATGTGTGTGAGAGTGTGTGTGTGAGACAGGGAGAGTGAGTGCGCACACACATGTGTGAGATTACATCATAAGAAGGAACCCCGGCACATTCTACTGTGTGGGAATGGAGGAAGGTAAAAGGGGTAAGTACAGAAGAAACAGGCAAAGAAATAAGTTTCAGGAAAAGACTAGGGTTCTTGACAGGGGTAGAGACTGAGAAAATGCCTGGTTACATAGAGGCTGGGACAGGAAAAGCTAAGGACATTTAGAATGGGCTAGTTTAACTACAGGGGCAAGGTCTCCTTATAATGAGTTCTTCTGTAACTTCAGAACTGGACTGAGACAAGTCAGTGACCTCTCCCAGATGACTTTTGAGGACTAGCTCCCTCTTAGCATCTTTGGCCTCTGGCTCCCATTGTTTCAGTGGCCCAGCTCATGTCCTGTCATCATTCAGAAACTTAGATTCCAACTTCTCAAAGCTTCAAGTTCATTGTTCTTGACTCTTACAGCCTTTCCTCCTATCCCCATGTATTCCCGGGCCATGACCTGGTGTTCTTGAATGCAGTGAACTGGTCTGATCACAACCTTCTCCCTGTCCACTCTCCTCTTCCCATTTCACCTGCTATTTAGCTCCATCAACCCTTGGTCCCTGCATCCCTCCTTCCTTCTGGAAAGCCCTTCTCTGTCCTCAATCCTTGTCCCTAACCCTTGCCCAATACAGTGAATCACCTTGAGTATTTCCTCACCCTCCATCTCTATTTCCAGGTAGAATGTATCACTCCTTCCTTTCTGTCCCCACTATATAAACTTCAATCATAGCAACTGTAAAACTATCACATTGTTTTATATATGCCTATCTCTCCCTGTAGGTCCCTAGGTGGCCCAAATGGTTTGCGCTCAACTACTAACCTAAAGGTTTACAGTTCAAACCCACTCAAGGGCATCATAAAATAGAGGCCTGGCAGAGTAGCGACTGGGACCTTAAAAGCTAGGAAGCTGCCATCTAGATGCAACAACGGGTCTCTCCTCGTCAAGAAGAAAACCAAAATTAATGGAAACAATCAGTCCTAGCGACTGGTACACCATCCGATCTGCAACCTATACAACTATGAGACCAGAAGAACTAGATGGTGCCCAGCTACCACTGCCATCCACTTGGAAGGGATGTAGGAGATCCTGCATAAAGAGGGAGAACAATGTGGTACAAAACTCAAAATCATTTGGAGGCAAAAAAAAAAGAAGGTGGGGACCAGGTTTGCTGGTCCAATGGAGCCTGGTGTAACCACTGAGACTATGGCCCCTAGCTGCCCTTCAGGTCTGGAATTGAACCCACAACTGTGATTTCCAGCCAAACAAAGTACAGGCATGTGAGTTAAACATTTACCTCAAGTAGACACACGCCCTGGAGAGAACAATCATGGGAGAAGGAAGGGCTGCTTATGCACAGGGAGATAGCTCAGGGTGCAGAAGAGTATGAAGGGATGGACACTGGGAGGAGGTAACTATGGGGAGGAAGTGGGAGGGGAGCTGCTGCATTGTAAATTTTGGTCAATGACATGAGACAAAGTATATGTGAACTGCTGTATGAAAAGTGAATTTACTCTGTAAATCTTCACCCAAATCCTAATAAAAAAAAAAAAAAAAATAGAGGCCTGGCAACCTTCTTCCATGAAGATTACAGCCAAGAATGCCCTCTGGAGGAGGAAGTGGAAGGGGAGCTGTTGCATTGTGGGAAATTGCAGTCAATGTCATGAGACAAAGGGTATGTGAGCTGCTGTATGGAAAGTGAATTTGCTCTGTAAACTTTCACCTAAATCACAATAAAAATTTTTTTAAAAAAGAATACCCTATGGAGCAGTTTAGGAGTTCTGGTAGTGTAGTGCCTAAGGCACTTGACTGCTAACCAGAAGGCTGGCAGTTCAAACCCAACAGCCACTCCTCAGAAGGAAGGCGGGGCAATCTACTTCCATAGTGATACTGCTTTGGAAACCCAAGGAGGGGTCGCTAGGAGTCAGGTCCGACTCAATAGCACATAACAACAAAAACAACACGTGGGGTTGACACAAGTCAGAACTGACTCAACGGCAATGAGTTTGGTTGGTCTTTTTATTTTATTTTGTTTTTTTATTATCTCCCTCTGTAGGGTTTTCATTTTATGAAGATGGTACAGGGCCAGGCAACATTTCATTCTGACACACTTACGGTCATTATGAGTCAGAGCTGACTCAATGGCCGCTAACAACATCATCATCATCTCCCCCTATAAACTGAAATATGAGAGCGGGACTATATCTAATTATCTATGTACCTCATAGACAGTACTCAGAAAATGTTTGTGGACAGTATGCATGGTTGAATGCAAGTATAAATAGGTGAACAAGCCAACAAAATCACCTCATCTTTTTCTGATCTGCCCCAGCCTGAGTCTTCTACTAAAATGGATCCATCCATGAAAACAAATGCCAGCCCCAAATGCTGTCCTCTATCTCCTGCATCTCCCTCCCTGTTCTCACTCTTGTCTTCTCACTCTTTCCTATACCTCCCATGGTTCTGCAACTTCAATTTGGAATCCCACTGCAGGCCCCTGCTTTAGGACATGTGTCTTAAGCGTGACCCTTGGCACTCTCCCTTCGAAACCAAAAATGAGTTTGCTACTCGACAAACATGATTTCATCCCATCCAAAACCAAAATGATTGTGGCACTTGCCTTCTAGCTCCATGTGGATAAGAGGAGTTCCCACTTTCTGTGGGAAAGTGGGTCATTTCCTGCCCTGCTAGTGATGGCAACCCTCACCCTAATGGTACCCTTCATACAAGCACCTTCATCAACACAAGTGAGTTAAGGTGAGAACGGCACAAAGTTCCCAACAAGTCTTCAACTGTGAGTGGGGCTGAACAGGCTATGGAGGGCCCCAGGAGCTAGGGGGTGATGGGAACTCACCTTCAGTGTCCTCTAAAAAGCACCATTAACTTTCTGTCTGGAGTGGGGCACTTGGGGCTCTGGAAACCAGGTATGAGGGTGGCCAGAGTCAGGTAGAGGGTGAGAAATGAGGGCCAATGTGTATGGATAGTGGTCAGCTAGCTGAGGGCATCTAGAGAGCTGGTGATTGGGAGCAAGACTGGAACTGAAAAACAGGCTCCACCTCCAAACCCCTGTGAGTTGGGCGACAAAGGGCTAAAAGGCTTCCAGAGGCTAGAGAAGGGGAGGCTTCTGCAGGGAGATGCAGAGCTTGTTGGACACTCTACCTCTCAGACTGTATTTCTCAACCCACAGCCTCTAGTCTTTCAGTCCTCTGATGTCCTTTGCCAGGAATGCCCACTCTTCTGGCTTCCTAGCTGCCACCCCTGAACATTCCTTTCTCCTGGTCCAAGTACATATCTCCTCAAGGTCTGACTCAAGCCACACTGTCTGTGTAGTCTTCTTGACATCCAGAAATGATCCTGCCCTACTGTAAACCTGGGAGCTCTAGTAGCCTAGTGCCTAAGGCATTTGACTGCTAACCAGAAGGCTGGTGGTTCAAACCCACCAGCCACTCCTTGGAAGAGAGATTGAGTAATCTACTTCCGTAGAGATAACACCTCGGAAACCCCAGGAGGGGTCACTATGAGTCGAATTCGACTTGACGGCAATGAGTTTGGTTTTTTGTTTTGTTTTGTTTTCTGTAAACCTAGTATCCACATACTCACTTTATACTTGCGTGTGTCATTTGTCTTTGTTATAAGAGCTCATTAATCATTCAAGTACAGCATTCAGGACCGAAACTCTTTTACTTCTCTGGACAACTATTGCTCAGCTCAGCGACAACATGCTCAAGTCATATTTATTGCTACTGTTGACTAAGGGGTCCTGACTTTCTTCAAGTGAGGCAGATGAAGGTCAAACAGAGGATGCCCTTGCTTCACAGCAGCAGCTGTACTCTCTGTGCCAGTTCACTGGAGTGAGGATATGGGGAAGGATATGGACCTTACCTATGTCAAGAAGCAAGGCTGTTTTCCTCCCTGGCCCACTAATATCTCAGGGGCAAGCACACGGCCACTGGACCCAGCCACAGCTTCAGGAGGCTCTCTCTTTGCAACAGGAGAGACCAAAAAGGCCTAGAAACAGGATTTGCCACTTGCTTCCAAACCCAAGGTCAACTAGACTGATCCTGACTATATACCAAACACATGGAGAATTGGTGACTACTAAGTACTGTTTTCATTTCCATAGCAATAAGACAGCTTCACACCATGACACAGGAAGATACACACACACACACACACACACACACACACACATTTTTTGTTGTTGTTGTGTGCCGTCGAGTCAGACCCAACTCATAGCAACCCCTCCTTGGGTTTCCAAGGCAGTATCACTACGGAAGTAGATTGCCCCATCTTCCTTCTGAGGAGTGGCTGGTGGGTTTGAACCGCCAGCCTTCTGGTTAGCAGTGGAGTGCCTTAGGCACTAAGCTACCAGAGCTCCATATATATATATGTAATATACATACATATGTGTGTGTGTGTGTATAGGTTCATTAAAACCTCAGGAAAAAACCAAATCTATGACATATGCTCACAGATTAGTATTCATGCTGCAACAGTCAAGAACACCTTTGGGCTAGCAAGCTGCCATCTAGATGCAACGATGGGTCTCTCCTTGTCCAGAGCAAAGAAGAATGAAGAAAACCAAAAAGTCATGGAAACAATTAGTCCTAGTGACTGGTACACCCTCTGATCTGCAGCCTATATGACTATGAGACCAGAAGAACTAGATGGTGCCTGGCTACCACTGTCATCCCCTTGGAAGGGGATCTATGTAGGAGATCCTTGATAGAGAGGGAGAACAATGTGGAACAAAACTCAAAATCATTTGGAGGAAAAAAAAAAGGTGGGGGGACCAGGTTTGCTGGTCTGATAGAGCCTGGTGGAACACTGGCCCCTAGCTGCCCTTCAGGTCTGGAATTGAACCCACACCTGTGGTTTCCAGCCAAGCAAAAGATAGGCATATGAGTTGAACATTTACCTCAAGTAGATACTCTCCTTGGAGAAAGCAAGCATGGGAGAAAGAAGGGCTGCTTATGCACAGGGAGACAGCTCAGGGGGCAGGAGTCCATGGAGGGATGGACACAGGGAAGAGGTAACTATGGGGAGGAAGTGAGAGGGGAGCTGTTGCATTGTGGTAAACTGTGGTCAGTGTCATGAGACAAAGCATATGTGAACTGCTGTATGGAAAGTGAATTTGCTCTGTAAATCTTCACCCAAATCACACACACAAAAAAATAATAATAATTAAAAAAAACAAAACCACCACCTTCGGGGTACACTGAGAACAGAACAGGAAAGCAGGAGACCAGTAAATGGAACTGACTCGTGGTTGATCTGTGGGCTGGATACTGATCACCCGGAGACGTATGAAACAGAGTTCATGTTTAGGTTTAAATTCTCAAAGATCAGTGTTTGAAAGAATCATCCCAGGATTTTGTAAAAATGCAGATTACTGGTCTCACCCCTGTCACAGATTGTGAAACAGAAGGTAGGCCGAGAAATACATATTTTTAAAAAGCTCCAGTTTGTTAAAGGCCCAGAAGGTACAGTGGCCACACACTGGGAAGCATGGGGTTAGAATAATATGTCTCCTTCCACCTTCACCTCCCCAAGGATTGAGAGCATCACTGATAGGAAGGCATAGTACAACTACTGGTAAATAGGAGCAGTAAATGCTCAGCAATAACTCACCATAAAAGTTCCTCTGAGCACCCAAATGTACTTTTCATGTGTGGTCACTATATCCAAATACAGCCCCACTAGCCACGCCTCCAGGAAGTCACAGGTTCATGCATTCCCCTATCACAATGAATCTGGGCTAGCCCTGAGGCTCACTGTAACCAATACAATGCAGAGGAAGTGGCACTGCACCAGCTTCAGGCCCAAGATGAGAAGGCCTAGTAACTTCCACTTTTACAGTAGCTGAGGGAGCTCTGAGCCAGTATGAAGTCCTATTACCTTGATGGAAACACACATGCAGGTCCTGTGACCACAAAGAGACAGAGAGAGGGACTCAACCATCCCAGGTGCCCTGCCAAGGCACCAGATAGGTGAGTGCACTGTTCTAGAAATTCCAGCAGAGCCACGCTCCCAAGGACCCAGATCCAGCTAAGGCATGAGCAGAACTTCCCAGTTAAGTTGAGTCAACTCCAGTCAGCCCACAGAACTAACTGACATAAAACTAGTCTTTATTATGCACTAGGATTTAATTGCCTATTGCTTCATAAAAGCTGAGAACAACTACCACCGATACATTTTCTCTCATGATTCTGAGAACATGGTACATAATAAGTACTTTTACCTTCATTAGCTCATTTTAGCCTGACAACAATGCTATGAATTAAGAAGTGCAAGGATTCATATTATTCCCTCATTCTGCAGATTTTTAAGTGAGATGGCTAAATTAGTGAGTGGCAGAGCTGATCTTCCGATGTTGAATACAGGGATATTTCTTCATGGGCTTAGCCAGTGCCTCTGAGGGGCTCACTGGGGAATGGAGTTAGCAGGGGCTAGTCAGGAGCTATTCAAAGAGAAAGAAATGACCAGATATGAAGAAAGGATTGGAAAGACTCTCCTTCAGAGAGTCTGTGGAGGAAGAAGTCAGGGAGAAAGATGAGGAATGACAATGAGGTGACTCAGCCCAAGAGAATTTGAGAGCATAGTCACAAATGGTGGAAAAAGTCATCATTGATGTGGTGAGAGATCTAGATATGAAAGTGCAGAGGCTGCCTAGATGGTCAGCCCTGTCTGCCCTTAGGAGCTGGGCCTGCCACTGACCACATACATGCCCAAGGCCACCCAGCCCTACTTCACACCATCACCCCATGCAGCCGCAACTTGCACCCTCATCTTGTAGGGCCTGCTCTAAGGAAGCCCATGCTCCCAGCTCTGTCTGCATTGCAGGAAGTGCCTTCAGGGAAGGCTTTAATTTTTTTAATACCTCAACCATAGTGTGCCCCCCAGGGATACAGATTTGGACTACAGAGGACCAGTATGATATCAGGTGGTAGGTGAGCAGTTACCCCAACCATCTCACACCCTTCTCCTGCCCTCTATCCTGTCAAGTAGCAGAAGTTGCTCCAAAGGGCTCCCAGGGGTTGAAATGGAATTGCCATCCCCAGTCCCACTCCTGCTATCGGCCTCCTCCTCAGCCCTACAGCTGCACATGCTGCTGAAGGCTAGAGTCAGGCCAGACCCTCTACACATCTCTAGAAGACAGTTGGTCCCTAAGAGCCTTCAGCCTCTGGCCCACAGCCTCAGAAGCGGTCATGGGCTCCTCCAAGGGACCCATGCATTAGGAACAGAGCTGGAGGTGTAGTGCTGAGGATCATAAGCCCTCTGGCTCAGGGAGTACCCAGGAGCTGGCCCCAGTGCCATTCACTGTGGAGAATTGTTGCTTCTGGTGTGTGTGTATGTGGGGGTGTGTGTATTTGTGCATGTCCCTCAGAGGGAAGCCTCACCATGCATAGCACATACGGGACTGTTGGTGAATCTTATAGCCAGGAAACCTTCCAAAGGCAGAGCTGTGAGTTGCAAAAGGAAAAAAAAAAAAAATGGGGAGAAATAGATTTCTTTTGAAAAAGTCCTCCCTCCCCCAATTGCACGGGTTGGAGTGAGTTAGTAAACAGCCTCTCTATACTTACTACATAGACAAGTATTCACAATCGGAGGAAACTCCTTTGATGAAGGCACAAATGGGAAGAGAAAGGAAGACGTTGTGGAGACAAGTTGACAACACCATGATGAGACACAATGAGCACACACACAGTTGGGGACATCCACTTGGGGCTCTGGCCTCAAGCAGATGTGTTTCCTCTGGCAATGCTGGGCCTGTACTTAACGTAACACTTGGTGCATGCAGGAGCTCAGGGGCTGGGGAATTCTACCGGAGTCCACATATGTGGTCATTCTTCCCAGAAGACTTTAATGGGCCACTGAAAGGCTGTTACCTGCATGGTGGTACACCCTCCCTGGGAGGCTGAGGGGCAGAGTGTTCATACTCGGGAGTGATTCCAAGAGCATATTAGAGACATTTTTATGACCCAGGTGGTTACAGACTGTAACAGTATTATTATCCACCCCATGGTTACATTATTCATAACTATACTTAGATCTTACATTTAAATCATGCTTTTATTCATTCAAAGTAAGCTTTCTTCTACAGTTTCCCTTACACACTTAACAACCTTAAAAAAGGACTATATTAATATATGGGGCTAATAATAGCCCCATTTAACAGATGAGGAAACTGAGGCACAGAGAGGTTAAATAATTTGCTACAGTTAGCAGCTGGGCCTAGAGCTCAGCTCTCTAAACTAGTATCTCTTTAATGTAGTGGTCCTTGACCTGGCCATGTTAGATTATGCTGGAGAGGTCTTAAATATTCAGGTTACAAACCATCCATCCAAATACACACACACACACACACACATTCAATTTAACTCAGAACTACTGAGGGTGGGAGCCAGGCATCAACAGTTCTTTTTTTTTGGGGGGGGGGCGCGGTTAAAGAGAAGTTTTTATTCTGCGCTCCCGGGGCGAGGTTTATGGGTCCCCGAGAGGGACTTGGGCGAGGTTCACGTGTTCCTGAGAGGGGCCTGGGTGAGGTTCACGGGTCCCTGAGAGGGGCCCGAGAAATCGAGAAGTCGCCATCAATAGTTCCTAAATCTCCTCAGGTAAATGCACTGTGCAGCCAAGATCAAGAATGACATCATCACCAGCCACACCTGGAAGCTTGTTGCAAAAGCAGAAATTCAGGCCCTACCCAGACCTACTAAATCAGAGTCTGTACTTTTAACAAGATGCCCCAGGTGATTTCTAAGCACACCAAAGTCTGAGAATGGGGTAGTGCATCTAGAAAGGCCCATCAGCCAGCCTGATGTGAGTTAGAGGTGAGGGGCTGTGGGTCAATGTCGACTTATGCATCATTGCTTAGGCTGGGCTTAATTAACTTAGTAAGGTGAACTGTCTTAACATGTGACTGAAACAAGCTTAAAATTGGTAACCCAAATTTCAGACTCCCTCAGGCATTTGACTGCTAACTAGAAGGTTAGAAGTTCAAACCCACCAGCCACTCCATGAAAGGAGACTGAGCAATCTACTTCCGTGAAGATTTACTGCCTCAGAAACCCAATGGGGGTCGCTATGAGTTGGAGTCACCTTGATGGCAATGACTTTGGTGGGTTTTTTCTTTTTTTGGGTAGCAGTAGCAGAGGGGAAACTGTTAAGGTTGGGGACAAGGCCTATTTAAAGACAGAGTCTCTTCAGTGTGCATATCTGCCCTGCCTTCCCCACAAACACCTTTTGCGGCCTGTGGATGTGACTTGCTCCCATCCTGCCCGCTCAGCTGACTCACCCTCCAAAGTCTTGGATGGAGACACCACAGGGCTCTTCATCTCTGACTTTGCTGGAGTCTGCACTGGAGAGGTAGGTGCAGACTTCGTAGGTGATCCAGGCCCTTCTGTGATGATTTCTTTCTCTCCTGAAAATACAGAAAACCATCCGAGGATAGCAGTCCACTAGAGGACATAGCAACAGAGAATATTTTTGTAAAAATTGCTTTTTTCTACTTGGTCATTATGTCTCCTGGCTGATAATGAACTTTCTGGTTGAAATTAGCTACATGTTGTTGTTGTCGTGGCTGTTGTAGAGTCTACCCTTGACTCATGACTAAATGGACAAGAGAACAAAACGTTGCCTGGTCCTGCATCATCCCCATGATTGGTTGAGGATCCAACCACTGTGATCCTATGTGACCACAGAATTTTCACTGGCTAAGTCTCTGGATGGTACAGTTATGTACTTGGCTACTAACCAAAAAGAGGCAGGTAAGTGAGGATTGAACATGAAAGCAAGAAAAGGCTAGATAGAGCCATGAGGGCCCTGCCCAGGAAAGAAGAAATATATCCATGTCCTCTGGCAAGAAGTGGCTGCTAAGGGAAATTCGATGTAAGGACGATATCCCCCAAGACTGTTTTTTAAACAAACCAAACTCAGGGCCATAGAGTTGGTTCTGACTCATAGCTACCCCTCCTTGGGTTTCCAAGGCAGTGTTGCTACGAAGTAGATTGCCCAATCTTCCTTCCAAGGAATGGTTGGTGGGTTTGAACCGCCAGCCTTCTGGTTAGCAGTCAAATGCCTTAGGCACTACACCACCAGAGCTCCCTTGATAAGCTAGGATGGGTACTTTTTAACCTGGCTGCTGCATCATTACATTCCAATAGTTTGATGAACTAATTCCTTTGCAAAAACTGAGGGAAAGTGTTGCTGGAGTGTGTGATGCATGGGCCCTATCTCTGTGGCAAGCATATCTGGTTAGAGTCAAGAACCAGTGTCCAAGGAGCAGGTTGGACCTATTCCTCTGAGGCAAGACTGCTGGTTACATTCAAGAGGGCAATGGGGCAGGACCTTGATGATCTTTTCATTTCCTCTAATGCAACTGCCACCTCCACCTCCGGAAAATGCCAACAACACATACCACCACCACATTACATAATACTATCAACAGTAATTTGAAAAGAAGGTCCATCCATCCCACTCTATTTAAAAATACCTACCTCTTGCTCCATGAGCTAGGACCTTCCTCGGCTTCCTCCCCTGCACACATTCCCTGTGGTTTTGTTCATTAGGCCTCTTCTCTTGCCCTGATGACTCTTCCCATTCCTTTCAACCCTGCTTATTTTTAAAGGACCAACTCCATTCTCATCCCCATGTCCCCACGCCACCCCTATACCAAACCACCTACCCTGGTCCACAAGAACCTCTCCCTTTCCTAAGCTATTGAGTTCTTAGTCATCCACTGGCTTCTATATGTGTATATAAGGTGTATATAAGTTCAACCTTCTAGAAAAGGCTAGTGATTTCTTCCAGCATCCTTACAAGAATTTAGGCTCCTCAAGGACAGGTACTGTGTCTTCTTGACCTCTGCATCCCCCATGAATGTTGAACAAGTGTGCAGTAATTGCAGCAGATGGAAAGTTCCTTAAGTATTTACCACATCTATGCTTCCAGCTATGTTTAAACTTTTCAGTTTTCAAACCTACAGTGAATGGTGGATGTACTGAGCATTCTAGAAAACCCAGGATTCTGGAGCTTTCCACATCGTGTGAAACGAAACACTGATGAAAGCAGAGTTGAAAAGCAAGTTTGAGGGGTTTTTTTGTTTGTTTTTTTTTAAGACCACTGGGTCAGGCATAAGTGTGAGTTTGTAGTCTAAGAGTGAAAGCAAGACCTTGCCCTTGCACAGACCAGCAGATTTTCCAGTTTAGAGAAAAGCACACTATCCACAACCAAGAGACCTGATACTCATACTGCTTCTCTTACACACTGTGTGGCTATAGGCAAATAATTATTGCCTCTGGGCTTCATAGAGTTTTGTTTTACTTTTCTAAATGTATTATCCTGCTTTATTTCAGGACTCTCCTACCAGGTAGCTATTGATCAAAAGGGTGACTGTGATTTCTTCTCCACTTTTGGGACACTTTTGTCTCATCTTATTAGACTCTTTTGAGGTGAAAGGTGCACTATGAATAATTACATAGGGACAACAGGCATAAACTGATTACCATCTTAGCAAACAGGACCTTAAGTACTAGTAACTGAACTTGACCACTAAGAACACTGAGGCTCAGAGAGGCTGTCCTCTCAGGCCACAGGATGATGGAGGGCCGCATCAGTACCTGCTGGCTTGCTCTGCTCCCTGTTTGGGTGCTCCTGCCCCCTCCCCTCCACCCTGGGAGACTGCTGAAAGGGGGATGCTCTCCTCCTCCCAGGTCATTTACCGTCAAGCTCTAGTTTCTTCCTCTCCACCTCTTTCTTGTACTCCTCCAGCTCCTGGTCGGTGAGTTGGCTGAAGGGGTTGGGCACGGTCTCCTCTGAGTCATCTTTGGTATCCACATCACCCTTGGACATCAGCTGGCTCTCTGTCGACTGAAAGTTAACCACAGAGTGCATGTCGCTCTCGGAACGCCATGGGCAGGGCCCAGGCTCAGCTTCCTCTCAGACTCATGTGGCTGCCAATGGTCTTGCTAGGGACAGTGAGCGTGGCATGCAGCTCCTTGGAAACAGCTCAGGGCCTTGGGGTAGGGGTTGTTCACTCCTCCCCATGGCTACCTCATCCCCAGACCCAGACTCTTAGCAACTGCCTGGATGAATGCAAGGGTCCACCCTCTGCCCCTGAAATAAAACCAAAGGATGTTCCCAAACATAAAGAAGACACACCTTTATTGTAGTCCCTTCTATGGACACTTCCAAGCCATTAATCACTATGCAAATACAGTCAGTGGCCCAAAGTCATCAGCCAAAGCCTCGCAGGCACAGCATTGGCTCAAGCAAGCTTCATGCCGGCATATCCCACCATTGCCCCTGCCCACCCCCCAACAGCAGTGCAGGCCACAACACACAGCATTAAATCACATGTAAAATACACAGCGGTGCCAGCATTCTCAGTGCAAACCGTTAGTCCTGTTTTGTGCATGGTCCTAAATTATGAGAGGGCCAAGGTCCTGAACTGGGAATCTCCAGTTCACCCATACTGCAGGTCCCTGAGAGGACAATGGCATTATTTGTTTTTGTTTTTTGCCACTTTCATGGAAAAGTGGATATGGGCACTCATGAGCTAGACCTTTTATGAGCTTCCAGAGATTGTTTGGCCCCTCTAGTCTAAGATAGGCATGAAATATTTAGCCTTCAGAGCCCTTTTTCCTAATTTAGCATCCTCATCTTGGCCCTTCCCATCCTGTTGGAGCATCCACTGCTCTCAGGCTAAGGAACAGCAAAGGAAAATGACCCTGACAGGAGGTGAACCTCTCTCTCTCTGAAGTCTGAGCACCTGGCCCCCACTATGCTCTCCAGGCCTCCTGGCCCTGCCTGCCAGGTCTTCTGAGGAAGGGCCCATGGATTCCTTCCAAAAGGGAGGCAGCAGTGGGCTTATCTTAATGAATCAGTTGCATAGAGTTCAAAGGGAGAATCCAAGACCAGGATCCCAAGAAAGGCTCCAAAGATAGTACTTGGTCCTAATAGTAGTGTTTTCAACACATTTGCTCATTGCATTGAACTCTTACCTCCCCCAGTATCATGGACTATTTCTACCCTTGACCCTGTTGCTCAGTCAGTGTTCCCCATCTTGAGGAGTTGAGGTGGGGTAGAGGTGGGTGCAATGAGATAGTCTTCACACTTATCCTGCTAGTGGGTGCCCACCTCGTGGGCTGCAACCTGATCTCAACTTGCTCTGCAGAGAACAACATTTCCCCTCTTCTTACTGCTAAGGAAAATACCATGCTGTTGCCATGAGTAGCAATGATTTCAAACATGAGCCAGGATTCTGATCTTCACCCTTTTTGCTAAGCACCAGACAAAAACTGTTCTATTTCAAGAATTAAGATAATAGCATTCTACTCTCCAACTCTATGTGGGTTTGTGTGGGCAACTGCCCCTTCCCCTGTTGCTGAAGCACCAGTCCTCATATGCATGCCTGCCCTCTGTGACTGCAAGAGAATCTTCCTAAAGCTATGGCCTGATGCCATTTCCACACATAGAGGTCAGAAGCACGCAGGGGAGGGTCAAGCCGGGAGCACCGAGGAGCCACCAGCTACAAGCCCTGTGAGTCTCCACTTTGCACAATACTAATGTCAGGCAAAGCAGAGTTCCATGGTAGAAGGGGCCATGGAAGCCAGCATCACTGGGCAGGCTGGGCTGCTGCTCCTCCCACCTAGTGCCCAAAGGGCGATTAGACATTGTCCCTGGTCCTCACAACACCCCTGTGAGGTGGACCTCAGTTTTGTAGCAAAAGCACAGGGGAAGATAGGCATGAGGACTCAGGGGTCCTGCTGCCCAGCCCCGGGCGCTGCAGACCCAGAAGGCAAGCATGTGTCCCCTCCAGACAGGGGCGGCCTCTGCTGTACCGGGCTCCGGCTCTTCTCGGCGATGACGCTTGCCAGGAGTTGGGACTGAGGTCCTGCTGACTTCACATCCTGCCGGTTTTGTTCCCGAATCTGTGTGGAGAGGGTAAGGGGATTGTGAGCTACCTCTTAAGTGTCAGAGGTGGGGTGGGGGACAGGGTGTTCCCAGGGCATGCTAGTGTCTGCTGTGGCCAGTGACTGTGACCCAGAAAGGTCCTCCATTGTGTGGGAGCCTGTCCCCTCTATTTCTAACACAACGAATCAGCTCAAGACATCTCCATGTCTTTTTCAGAGTGAATGAATAATTTATTTAAAACACCATAATGTCATGAACCCTGAGAAGAGAATTGTAACAGATAAAGAATGAAGCCAGACAGATTAGATCCTTGAGGGAGTGGCTCTCAATTTTTAATATGCCTAAGAATTTGTTTACAAACAGATTCCTGGGGCCATCCCACATCTATTACATCTCTGAAGGGTGTGGCCTAGGAGTCTGCATTTGAAACATGCAAGTGGTCCTTGGATCACACATTGAAATACTGTTCTGTGAGCTTATGGGGCATAGTGAAGATGATCTGCTACAATTTAAGTTTTTAAAGTAACATTAGAAATATCAGTGAGTGAACTATAAGGGAAACTACAGAAAACAAAATAAAGGACTTTGGAAATCTTGAAAATAAACCAAAAGGAAAATAGCGCCAAATTAATAAAAATTTGGTTTGTGGGCAGCTTTAGGACACATCTCATGTGTAAAGCAAGCACCCCTAATATAAGAGTGTTATCTAAGGACTACATAAGCATGATGCCTGGAACAGGGTCAATAAATGGTGGTTTCTTTCCCACATGAGGAATCTGGGATGTTGGAAAACTGAGCTCACGTTTGCAAGATGTGAGTCACCCCCTGTGACAGAAGGGATGGTGAGGTGAGCAGACCCACTCACTTTGTTCCTCATGTCCAACACTTCTTGGGGGTCAGTATAGAGAGGCACAAATTGGTTTGGATTTTCGATCCGTATAGGCATGCCACTGCTGGATTTCTCCACTTCATCAGCCTTCATCCACTGAACAAACACAAAGTGAGCTGGGTAAGGCAAAGGAACAAGGCCCACACAGTCCCCCAGTGGTCACACTGTGAGCCCTGGGGCCCACCCGGCCAACTTGGAAAGTCAGAAGTCTACACAGAGATGTCTTCTCCTCATGGGCCTCTTTGATAGCAGACTTTCAGATCAGAAATGGGCCACAAGTAACCAATCTGCCAAAGGAGGCCTTCAGGCCAATCGATGGTCAGCCTTGAAGAACACTAGAGAGCAGGGATCAAACCTTGGTAACCAGCTGTGACAGACAGGCAACCACTTGTGCTTCAGTATTAGATGACTCATGATTGAAATCTGCAGGGCTTCATTTTTTATGAAGAGCTGTTCTATTGGCTGCCAGCTAACCAGTTGCTATTGAGTTGATTCTTACTCATGGCAACACCACATGTGCTGGGGTAGAACTGTGCTCCATAGGGTTTTCAATGGCTGATTTTCCAGAAATAGATCACCAGGCCTTTCTTCTCAGGCACCTCTGGGTAGTTTCAGACCTCCAATCTTTCAATTAGCAGCCAACCACAGGCAAGCAGGCTAAATGCACCACGCAAGGGCTCTAGTTGCCAATTACGTTTATGTCAATGAAAACTTGTACTGAATGTCAGGGTGTATGTAAGAGAGAAAGAGGGAAAGAGAGGGAGAGAAGGTGGTTGGGAGAGAAAGAAGGAAAGAGATAGAGAAGGAAGGAGAGAGGGAGGGAAGAAGGGAAGACAAAGGGGAGAGAGAGGGAAGAAGGGAGGGAGGAAACTATAACTTAACAGAAATGAACATCCTGTCCACCTCCTGGATTTACATCAGATGTGTTGTCCCAATTCTCAACTACAGCTCCTGATTTCCCAGAAGGCCCCTCTGAATGGGGAGCAAGAAGCAGAAACCAATGGCTCCTGGGTTTTATACTGCTGGGAGAAAACTGGTCTAGCCCTCCTCTGGAGAAATCTGCTCCTCAGACCCAAACGCTCATGAAGCAGAGGTTCAAGAAAGAGGCAGTCAAAGGCACAGTGGGCTCCCAAATAACCAGTAGGAAGCTCTAAGAGGAAATTTACTAACCCAGACCCAGGGGAGATTTGCCTGTTTTATAGCTGTTAATTCCACAAAATGGACCCCAGCTCTCCCTCTGCACCCCATGTGTCCTGGATTTCCCCAGCCTCCTGGTCCCCTCTCCTTACTGTGGTCTTGGGCCGGGGACTGCCCATGCTCCTCTGGACCTCGTCAGCCACGTTGACCCGCAGGTAGGTGTTGGGGGTGTTGAGCCAGCGGGTCTTCTCCTTCTGCTGTTTCTGGGCATGCTGCCGCAGCATGGGAACCGGGGTGCCATCCTCCTCAAACACAAAGGCCGTGACTGTGGCTGGAATCTCCACCTCACTTTTGTGTTTGGTTTTCTCTTGAACAAAGGGGTGGCGGTATGTGTAGCCTGTTCTGTAACCCTAAAAAGGACAAAAAATAAAGCCCCTGATGTTAGGGGAAATGGTCTGATGCGCATATGTGTGTGCGCGTGCACACACACACACTGTTCCCTTCCATGTGAAGAACTCAATTTAAAGTAGAATCTACAGAATATAACCAGGGCTTCTAGCGGGCTGGTATATCTCAAAGTTGTTCCTTCCCCTTGGTCCCTGTTACTGATTGAATTGTGTCCCCCAAAATATGTGTTGATTTTCTGACCCCTGTACCTGTGGATGTGATCCTGTTGGGAAACAGGGTTTTTATTTTGTTATGTTAATGAGGCTGTACCAGTGTAGGGTGGATCCGTTCTGACTTATAAAAAGAGCAGAGATGACACAGAGACACACACACACACACACACAGGAGGAAGACAGATGGCATGTGAGGATCATCTACCAGCAAAGGAATGCCTGAGGCTACCGACAAGGAAGGAATCCACATGGCTAAGACTCTGATTTGGATTTTCAGCCCCCAAAAGTGTAAGAAAATAAATTTCTGTTCTTTCAAGTCACTCTATTTCCCAACAGGATCACATCCACAGATACAAGGGTCAGAAATTCAACACATATTTTAGGGGACATAATTCAATCAATAAAAGGGACCAAAGGGAAGGAACAATTTGGGTATTTTTGTTAGGGCAGCGTACGCTGTACCGTGGAGTTGAATGTGACTCATAGCAACCCCTCCTTGGGTTTCTGAGGCCATATAACTATGGAAGTAGGTTGCTCAGCCTTCCTTCCGAGGAGGTGCTGGGTGGGTTTCAACCGCCAGCCTCCTGGTTAGCAGCCAAATGCCTTAGACACTATACCACCATAAACCAAAAACGAAACTCACTGCTGTGGAGTCGGATCCAACTCATAGTGACCCTCCCTGGGTTTCCGAGGAAGTATCACTATGGAAGTAGATTGCCCAACCTTCCTTCCAAGGAGTGGCTGGTGGGTTTGAACCGCCAGCCTTCTGGTTAGCAGTCAAATGCCTTAGGCACTATGGTAACTAAAAATCCCAAAACCAAACCCAGTACCATTGAGTCAATTCAGACTCATAGCAACCCCCATTGGGTTTCCAAGGCAGTAAATCTTTACGGAAGAAGATTGCCTCATCTTTCTTCCATGGAGCAGCTGGAAGGTTTAACCACCAACCTTCTGGTTAACAGTCAAATGCCTTAGGCACTGTACCACCGGAGCTCCTTAGGTAACTAAAACAGGCCCCCATCCCTCCCTTTCTCCACACCCATCAAGTCTACTGATCAGAGCTAAGACAATCCCTGGAACCACACAGGCCAGCCGGCCAGAGCTCTTTACCCACACAGAACTTCATCCCCTCATCAGGCTCAGTGGTTCTCAACTTTGGCTATACAGTAGAATCCCTTAGAAGGCTTTAAAAATGTGTAATTCCAGGGTCTTATCTCCGAGATGGTTATTAACTGGTTGTTAAATGGTATAGCCCAGGCTATAAGATTTTTAAAGCTTCCCAGATTATTGGGGAGCTCTGGTGGCACAGTGCCTAAGGCATTTGACTGCTAACCAGAAGGCTGGTGATTCCAATGGTCACCTCCGCCCTTCTTCACCTCCCAATCTTCTTAACTATTTCCTTCTTGTAACCCCCAAATCTGACTCAAGAACATGCCTGTCTCCCGAGTGGGACCACACCCCACAGAGGCAGAGCTGACTTCTCCTCAGCAACAGCAAATGTACAGGCAGCCTGGCAGCAGCCAGAGCAGATGCTGTTCTGCCTGTCGTCTCCTTCTTTTTTTTTTTAAATTAAAATAGCATTAAATAATTTTTCTGATTATAAAGAAAATACAGACTCATATAGAAAAATTAAGCAATATGGAAAAGCATAAAGAAAAATGTACGTTTTATGCAAAATCTCACCTCAAGACAATCACTAAAAATCTTTCCAGTTAGCTCTCTATGCATAAATATATTTGTCCATGTATGCAAATACACATAAATGTGTATCAATGGCGCTATTCTACATAAGCTGCTTTATAAGCTGCTTAGCTAGCTCTTCAATGTGTTTTGGAGATTCTTCCATGTTACTGAACCTATCAATACATGCTGTTGTTAGTTGCCATCATATTGACTCTGACTCATGGCAACCTTATGTGTAGCTGAACCAAAGGTTTCCAGTCCTGTGCAGTCATCATGATTGTTGCTGTGTTTGAATCTACAGAAAGAACACATAGCACAGTATTCCAATGAGTGGACATACCATAATTTACCTAACCAATATCCTGAGGGCCACTTTGTTTGAATATTATAAACAACTCTGAAATGAACAGCTTTATACATTTTAATTTAGTTAATTGAATGATTCTTTCCTTGGGATAAATTCCTAGAATTAAAATGCTGGGTCAAATTAAAATTACATTTTAAGTGTTGTATACATATCATATCCATCTTCTCAAAATGTCGAGCCAATTTATGTTTCTACCAACGGTGTTTGAGTTCCAAGTTCTCTTTCTTCTTTTCCACACTGAATATTATCTAGATATTTAAAATATATATTGCAAGCAGACAGCTTAAAAGTAAAACTGCAATTTTTTTTGCTCTTTTTTTGATTACTAATAAAATTTGATATTTTAAATTCTACTTGAATCTCTTCCTTTACAAATTATTTATTTGTGTTCTTGGCCTGTTTTTCTATTAAAATATTTATCTTTTTCACACTGATTTGTAATATCTCTTTGTATATTAAGGATAGTAATTTTTTGACTGTCACAAATATTGCAAATACTTTTCTCTCACAGTTTGCCCATTAACCTTGTTTATGTAAGGAGAGTGGTTTATAGAAATGGAAATTTTGAATTTTTTAATGTAATTGTATCGGTCAATGTGGTCACCTTGATTTCAGACTTTTCCTACCATGCTTGACAAGGTCTTCCCCAATCCAAAATTCTCAAAAATATGAATTTATATTTTTTAATATCTATATGACTGCACTTTTATGCTTAAATGTTTTATACATCAGGGATGTATTTCACTGAAAGGAATGAGGTGGCAATTCAGCTTAGTTTTATTTCCCAAATGCCTGATAGTCTTATCTTTTTCCCACTGATATGTATCATATGCTAAATTCTCATGTGTCCTTGAATCTATTTCTAGATTCCCTAAGCTGTCCCACTGATCTGCCTGTATATTCTGCACTATGGTTACACTATTTAATGACCAAAGCTTTATAACACTTTCCTGTGTGGTGGAACAAGTATCCCTAATTACTCTTCTTTTTTTTAGGATCTTCTTAGCCATTCTGAATTTTTCTTGGACGAGCATTTTGTTAAGTCCTTACACTCTTTCCCATTTTGGGGGAATCACATTGAGTGTATAGATTAATTGGTGGGGAGTGGAGGTGGTTACAGAACCTCTTCACCCATTGAGATTTTCTAACCATGAATAAGTTATAGCTTTGCACTGATTTCAGCTTTTCTCTGCTGTCTGTTGGTAAATTTTACAGTTTTGTTTATATGGATTCTGCTTAATTTATGACTTTTCCTCATTTGCAAATGAGATTATTTCCTCCCATTATTATATTTTCTAAGTAGGTGACTTAAGATACAACAAAGCTAGTGATTTTTGTATATATTTTAATAACTGGCTACCTTACTATTTCTAACATTTATTAGATTTCTAATATTTTATTATTTCTAATATTTTTCAGCTGATTATTTTAGACTTTCTAGACATGTAACCATATCTCTAAGGAACAGTAATTTCAACTCCTTTCCAATATTTATTAAAAAAAACTGTTCTTGTGAAGTTGACACCAACTCTTGGCGACCGTGCATGTGTCAGAGTAGAACGTTTTCCACAGGGGTTAGGTCACAAGTCCTTCTTCTAATATCTACACCTCTATTCCTAAACCAGACTATATTGGACTGAGTTCTAAGAAAAATAATAATGCTGAGAGCAGGAATCATTGTTTTGTTTCAAAGATTAATGAAAATACTTCCAGGGTTTCGCCATGACACTGGCTCTTTGTTTTGAGAAAAGTCATTTAATCATGGTAAATAAGTATTCCTCTGTTCTTTTAAACAGATATAACTCTTGTAAACTGATGTTGAATTTATATCAAGTACCTTTTGGTATTTATTAAGATCAAAAGGTTTTTATCCTTTGGCTTGTTAATATGAAATCTATTTAAAAGTTTTATAATAATGAACTATCCTTAACTACCAGAAATAAACCTTCATTTGATTATTTTGTTTTATTATTCTAACATTTTGCCAGATACCATTTGCTAGTTTTCATGCAACGTCTTCTACCAGAATTCAAAGCTGATTGGCCTAAATACGTTATAATTGTTGTGGTTGGTCTTTTTCTTTTCACTCTTCTCTAAAACAGTTTAAACAGCATAGGAGTTATTTACTTCTTAAAGGTCTGAAGGAATTCCTGCATGAAGCCATCTGATCCTGGTGCTTTATTTAGGGGTACAGTACTCAGCACACAAATGTTAATGAGATGTATTTTCACTGTGGGTTGTATCCTTCATCATCATAAACTGACCCTTGGTCAGTCTGGTCATCTTGGTACTAGGGGCAGATGATGATTTAGAGGAACTGGAGACGGGGAGAAAACGTGGTAATGACTCAGACACAGTAAAGATGGTCAAAGTGGTAGATGAGGATGGGGAAAACTAATAATATATAAAAATGTTACAAAAATAGTTTTCATCTTTCACTTCTCTCTGAGAAATCAAAGAAGTCGTAGTCTCTTTCTGCAATTAGCTCCTCATATCTTTTCCTCTTCCTCTCAATTTGTCTCCTGTTTGTATCTCATATCTTCAACTAAACTGTTAACTCCTAGAAGAAGGAAGACTGTCTTGAATTTTTCTTATTTCTGTTAAAGAACTGTAGTGCCTAAGGCATTTGACTGATAACCAGAAGGCTGGCAATTCAAACCCACCAGCCACTCCTCTGAAGGAAGATGGGGCAATCTACTTCCATAGAGATACCACCTCGGAAACCCAAGGAGGGGTCGCTATGAGTTGGAACCAACTCGGCGGCAGTGAGAGTAAGAGTTTTATTCCTAACACATGCCAATGAACTCTTACATGATTGAATGATTCATTCACTTATTACAATAGAATATCATTATAATGCTAATGACCAGGGATAAGGAAATTAGTGGTAATATGTGCTTTCTGTGTTAAAGTCGTGAGATTTGAAAACCAGGCAGAGCAGAGCAAACTACATAAGGGAAGTGAACTAAGCCACAATATACGAGAAACTCTTTGTTTCTGATATTTACTCAATTCTATTTCTAGTACCAGCCAATATCTCCCCCTACCCCTTCTCCAAAGAGCACTCTGAAGTAGAATGACAATCCTGTGGATGCAGCTTTCAGAAGGGGTGGCAAAAGAAAACTTAACCACTATTTGAATGACTACAAATTCTAACTCAAATCCTCAATCAATGAGGCTTCAACATCTTGACCATGATGCTGACAGTTCTCATGGCCACCTAAAGACAGTCCCCAGCTGACTGGTTCTGGGGACTAAGCCTCACCAGACCGGTCTGGAAGGATAAGAACAAGAGACTCACCAGGTTGTCCAGCATTCTCATGAGGGCCTCAAACTCGTGCTCCCCCAGCCGGCTCTTCTGCATGGGCCCGAAGGTGCTCCCCGCCCACTGCACGGAGCCCACCTCATGGGGCCGGTGCTTCTCCTGCTCCAGGAGGATGAGGTTCTCCACCCCCCCGGCGCTGGACAGTGCAGACACCTGTGGCAGAGAGAGAGAGCCTTGGGTCATGCATGTGCACAGGTGCACATGGTGTGAATGTGTGTGTGAGAACCACAAACATCTGGGAAACTGAGCTGCATCTGGCTCTTCCCTCCTGGAGGAGAGTCGTCCCCATCTTGCTGGGCATGCACCATTTCTAGGAAAGAGGTATGGGTAGTTTATTTCCTGTCATCAGTTCTTCACGACTACAATGGAAAAGGAAGTAATGAGTGTTAAACTTTAATAACAACACAATTCAAAGGACTGAAAAGTCACCTCTAATACAGATGAACTTCTGATTGTATTAGTTCTGTCAAAGGAGAGAGGATGAGATCAGAATGGGCTGAAAAGGTGACTATGACTCTTGTTTATTTCTTTTAAAGAAAAAAAAAAGCTGATAATATTTGTTAAATCTAAGTAGTGGGTAAAATCCAAAACCTAACCCCCTGCCATCGAGTCCATTCTGACTCACAGTGACTGTACGGGACAGAGTAGAACTGCCCCATAGGGTTTCCAAGGCTGTAAATCTTTATGGAAGCAGACTGCCTCATCTTTCTTTCACAAGCAGGCTGATGGGTTTGAATCACCAACTTTTTGGTTAGCAGCCAAATGTCTTAACCACTGTGCCACCAGAGATCATTAATGTAATGAGTAGTAGGTATCTATTATATTGTGTTCTATATTTTTCTGTGCGTTTGAAATATTTTCCATAATTTTTTTTAAAGTCACTTGAAAGAAACAGGCTGGTTTCTCGGCCAGTGCAATTTGAGTGTGGCCTGACAGGATGAAAGGCCTAGAAAGAGAATGCAACCCTCCACAGTAGGCATTGTCAGGCCAGGACAACCAGAACAAGGAGACAGGACACAATGTTGATGGTGTACAGCCATGCCCCATGCCAGGGTTACACTGCTTTCACCAAGGGGCTTGGAGGTTTTGCCCTATTGTCAAAATTCCACCAGGAGGACAGGGCATAGGCGTTTGCATACAGTGAACTTCGACTCTTAGGACAAGAGGCATGTGTATATATCAGGTGAATTTAGAAGGACACTAATAAACCAATCTAACCAATTCCCTTGTTTTCTAATTCCATCCTCATCTAACAGTATATTCTATTTACTCCCATATATCCACCACTCAGGTATAACTGGCCATGATTTGGCTTCCTGGATACGTTCCCCTACAGAGAGATATGGTGGTTTTTAAGTCGATCAGGGAGTGATTGGGGTGTGAGGGGTGGTATGCACCGAACATTAGTGCCTTAGCATTTTGATTAATATTGATTTCCAATGTAAGCATGCTTGTTAACTGGGAACTGCGCTGATCCTATAAACTTTCAATGTTTCGGTTTTTTTGTGACAATCATTTTTTACTGAAAACTAAAGGATCCAATTTAGCTTGTTGACATATGCAGGTTTATGAATTATGAACTTTATGAACTCATGAGGATGTGAAATGGACCATGGAGTATATTAAATTCACCAGAGTAATAAATGCCTTCTATGAAACTTCTTGGAGGCCAGCCAGGTAACTTTCCCCCAGTGCCTTCATCATTCTGTGATGAGGAGGCAAGAACATTCACTTTCCATACCCTCTTCATCCAAGATGCATGTCCAATGGAAGCGTTCACTTTTATCTTATAAACATGACTCCACACCCTTGCAAAGATAATCCTGTGTGACTGAAGCTTTGAATTGGAATAGGCCTTATTATTGTTGTGTGTTGTTGAGTCAATTCTGGCTCAAAGTGACCCTACAGGTCAGAAAAGAACTGCCCCATAGGATGTCTCAATCTGAAATCCTTATGGGAGCAGACTGCAAGACCTTTTCTCTGCAGAGTGGCTCTTGAGTTCAAACTGCTGTCCTTTCAGTGAGCAGCCAAGTGCTTAACCACTGTGCCACCAGAGCTCCTGAAATAGCTTTAGACATTATTCATTCCATCTTCCCACCCAAAGAATCCTTGTCCATTATGCCTACAAGGTGGTCAACTCCATTTTAGGGGAGGCAGCCTATTCCACTGTTGTCCAAATGTCAGAAGACTTGCTTGAATTGAAATCACTCATTTTCCCTAGTTCTGCTGTCTGCTGCCATGTTTTCTGATTTTGAAGTCCTTTACATTTAGCACTGAGGCTGAAGGAATGGGAATGCAGCCTCCAAGGCAGTGAATACATTCTGGCTCATCTGGGACTCCCATCTGGCCCATTCAGGGCTTACCCTCTGGTCATACCTGAAGTCTTGTCTTAAAGTGTCAGCTTCCTAAAGGGAGGGCCTGGCTTATATGTATAGCATCCCCACCAGACTGCCCTGGAGAGGCAGCACAATGCATTGCTTAAGGGCATGGACTCTGGAGCCAGGTTGCCTGGGTTTTAATCCTAGCTCTTCTAATTACTCGCTGTGTGACTTTGGGCAGCTATTTACCATCTCTGTGCCTCAGTTCTTTATCTGTAAAATGAAAAAATATATATATTATTGACCCCATGGGGATTATTTAAGGCAGTATTTGTAAAACACTCAGAATGGCACCTGAAGTATAAAGAATACAATGTAAATGTTTTTGATAAATACATTCTGAGGTTTTACACCGAAAGGGGGAGAAGCAGTATCCCAATGGGGACCAGTCACTAATAGAGAAGAAGAGAGGGAGAGAACTGCCCGCATCCTTGCAAGAGCTGCCACTTTCCACCTCCTTCTTCCTCCATCAGTTTCCATGGTGATGGGTAGCAGATGGAGAATTGCCCAAGTTTCTTCCAATCTGCCTGCAACCAGAGCAAGGAGCTGCCTCTCTCAGCTGGCAATGACCTAGTTTCCTAGAACCCCAAACTGATGAGGAGCAAAGAGAACATCACCCCCAAGAGAACTGAATACACTCTTAGCTTTGAACCACTAAAATGACTGCAGCCACGTTTGCTTGTTTGTCAAGGTCACTAAGAAACCAGGATCACAGTGGGAACAATGACAGAGCTTCAGTGTTAGCCACCCCCTCCAAAAGAAAGCCCCTGAGGGGCTGCAATCCAGACAGCACCTGTAGGTTGCTGGTACCTTGGCTCTTACATGCTCTAACCCACAATGGCCCCTGGTCTAATCTTTCCTGTCTTCCTTCCCTATCTGCTTGCCTTGGTCCTCTCTCTAGAAGCCTTCCTGTCCCATCAGCTGGAAAAAAGCCACTGGAGTTTGTCTGCAGGTTATCTGCCCCCCACTCCCTGATATACTTTAATAGATCACAACAAACCAGTCCTTAAAAGAGAGTGACAATGGGCAGGGCAAAGGGAAGCAGCCAGGAGGGCTGGCAGGGACAGTGGCTTGCAGTTCTGCTCCTCGATCACCCCCTAGTTGCTAGATGCCCATCCTGCCTTTGGTTAAACTGCATAGTGGCCATAATCTAGGGGTCAAGAGCCTAAGAGAGATGACTTCACTGTGGGTGGGACACATAGGCATCCTTCTCCATTCATGTTTATGGCTGGGCTGTCTTTGCAAAGGGATGAGATTTTTTTTTCATGAACTAGATTTCTCATGCTAGCTTCTTCTGAAAAAGGAAAATGGATGACACTTAAGAGTTCAAAAGTGGGGAAGGGAAAATGTGTATACAAAGACTCATCCAGGTTCTTACATTGGGCTGTGACTGGAGCTCAGGGCCAGCATCGTTGGCTGGGAGGGTGGGAAAGTAGGGGGTAACATCAAAAAGGCACTGCTTCAGTCCTGTGTCCACCTTGTTCACATCTCCTGTTCTGACTACTCTTATTTCCAGGGCAAATTTCATACTATTCTGGTTTGATGTGACCTTGTTAAAGTGTATCAGGAAATGGAGACAGATAACCTCCAGACACACTCCTTCGGCTTTTCTCCAGCTGGTGGGACAGGAAGGCTTCTAGAGAGAAGACAAGGAAGTACTCTGGTGCCTCTTCATTACTGTCTCAACAACTATTCTCTCAATATATTCCTTTAATGACTATTCAAAAGGCACCACTTGTGACGCTTCCACTAGTGATGCTCCTGGGCCAATCCTATTCTTCCCTGGGTGACTGACTCCCAAAGAGCAGGTGTTCCTCCTCCGGGCACTGCTCTGCCCAGACCAGCCAGCAGAGGGCAGACAGGACACGGAGCAGGCCCTGCACAGCTGATGCATGCTGGAGCAGCTGGCCTCACCTTATGTCCAACTGAGTCCTAAAATACTGTTGGCTATATCACTCCTTAGGAGCTCTGGTAGCATAGTGGCTAAGGCACTTGACTGCTAATCAGAAGGCTGGCGGTTCAAACCCACCAGCCACTCCTCAGAAGGAAGATGGGGCAATCTACTTCCATAGTGATACTGCCTCGGAAGCCCAAGGAGGGGTCACTATGAGTCGGGTCTGACTTGACAGCACATAACAACAACAACAATATATCACTCCTTGTCTGAAAAGACTGTCCTTACAACAACACAACAGTTCCCACAGGTACAACTGAGGAAACACAGGCTCACAGAGGACAAGCCTTTTGCCAAAGTCATACAGCCTAAGCTAGAAGTGATCAAGCCAAGGTCAGTTGGATTAACAAGTCTCCAGAACTGTGCAAAGCCTCATGCTCACCCCTGATCTACCTGCCACATTTAAAAGAGCAAAAGCTTGGCCTGTCCAGCACCACCTTGTTACCTGGTAAACTGCAGGATTTGTCTACTTTCCCACTGCTTCTCCACCAGCTCTTCCAGGTGGTCCCATGATCACTGAAACTCCCCATTCACCCTCTCCCTTACCAATTCAGGAAAATTTATGAGAGGCTCCCTGGACATCCCTTTAGGGTTATCTCTGACTGCTCAGGCCTGCATGGCAACAAGTTACCTTGGCCTGCTCTCTACTCTTTTTATGGACCTGACCATGCTCCTGGCCTTTGCATCCCTGTGACTCCCAAAAAAACAAACAAACAAAAAAAATTACCGGTACAATGCCTATCAAGCAAATTAGGTGGGACAGGTACACCCCCAGATGTGAGCCTGGTAAGAGCTTCTATATGCCCTATTACTGCTTCCCCATTGATGAGTCCAGGCAGCTCCCCAGTCCTGGGTATTGACCCCCAAGGGTTAGATGTTAGTTGTTAGGCAATGGTGGTAATTTTTAAAAGCAGAATTGATTGTTAAGTATAAAGCTTTAGAAGGGTAAGGTAGTACCAAAGCAGAGAACCAGGGCAAGTGCTTTAATATGGCAAGGCTCAAACGACTCCCTCAATCACAGCCAATGGGGCCACCATGTTGGCCCATAGGCCCCTGTCAGAGCTAACGCCTGGGCTCACTTACCAGAGGCACTTGCTCACCTGTATCTCACATGCAGCCTGCAGGTGGAAGATCTTATAAAACGCCTCCTCTACCGTGTCACCTAGAGCAACCACTCCATGGTTTCTTAGCACCAGGATCTGTAAAGGAGTAAATAGGCAATTAAAGCCTCAAGCTGTCCACACTTTAGTTACAAGGGAGAGAGAGAGATTTTTAATTTTATTTAGATCAATTTTTATCCAATCCCAGACATGGTTCTCCCACCAACACCTTGCTCATTCTCCCTAAACAAATACCCCAAGGCTACCCACACACATGATGCTCACCCAAATCATTCTCCCCAAAAAACTGAAGATACCTTTTTAAACTGAGAGACTAAACAGACCATAAGGAGCTCTGGTAGTATAGTGCCTAAGGCACTTGACTGCTAACCAGAAGGCTGGTGGTTCAAACCAGCCACTCCTCAGAAGGAAGCTTGGGCGATCTACTTCCATAGTGACACTGTCTTGGAAACTCAAGGAGGGGTCGCTATGAGTCACTCGATGGCACATGACTACAACAAACCATGGATTTCTCTGAGGAATGTCTGGATCTTTGGGCCTTGAAGAATTTTCCAAATGGTATCAAGTTGATTCAAACTTATGGTGACCCATGTGCATCAGAGCAGACCTGTGCTCCATAGAATTTTCAGGGGCTGGTTTTTCAGAAGTACATCACCAGGCCTTTCTTCTGAGGTGCCTCTACACAAACTCCAACCCCAACTTTTCAATCAGCAGCCACACGTTAACCATTTGCACCATCCAAGGACTCTTTGGAGAATTTAGAGATCTAAAAACCTGGTGATGTTCATGTTAACATGTATGCAATTATCTTGTGTCCAATGCAAGGTCCAACCTCAAAAGCAATCTCTTGCTCCCTATGACTTAGTCTACTTGGGGGTCAAAAACCAAGAGGGTGGTTCTCCAAGAGATGGCTCTGCAGAAGCAGGTGGAAGGAACTGAGGGCCTGTCACCTCTCTGGATCTCTGCTTTGTAAAAGACACAGGGTTGAAGTCAATGAGGCCCCTACCATCTCTAAGAAGGAAGTTACAAGAAAGACATCATAGTGACCTTCTAATCTAACTCATTGATTTTACAGATGGGGAAACAGAAGCCCAAAGACACAGACGGTCTTCCAGCTAAGTAGGGCAGAATCTGAACTAGAACCCAGGTGTCCTCATTATTCATGCAACATTTCTGACCCACCAGGGACAGAGGGATAGCAGGAGGAAATTAATTGATACTAAGGGCATGGCTCCCCAAGGTTCAGGTTCAGGCTCCTCTCTGCTCTCTCTCCTCTCTTTCTGGGTTGGTTTTATCCCCAAGAACTCTCTGAAACCAGACTATGCCCATCTGGGAGCTCTGTCAAATCCACGTGTCAGATCGGGCCCTGCAGGAGTCTAGGCAGGAGCACAGTGGCTCTAAACATCACATCCTTTGCTAAAAACAGCTGGATTGTTTCCCTCTTGTACCAAAGAAATAGAAACAGATAATGTCTCTGGGGCACAAAAGATTTTGCAAATAACAAATGCTTCTTCTCTCACATCCTTGTAGCACTTCATCAATGTGAACATCTCCTCTCCCTATAGGCACTGCAAATGTGCTTCAGAGAATGTCACAGAGAGGACAACAGCGGTCTCTCATCCCTTCTTAGAGGTGGGGACATAGGGACACTCAGAGGAGAAATGACAGGGAGGGAGTCTTGCAAAGACAGGAACAAGAGTCCATCAGCCCAGGCTGGGTCCAGAAGCACTTCCCATACTAAGCTGAGCACCCATTATGGGCTTTATAAAACAGGTCTTTAGATTGAAGGTGAGCAATGAGACTTCATTTTTCTTTATCAAGTTGACAAAAAAAAAAAAAAGTAATAACACTCAATTTTGGGAAACTGCACAGAACAGCATTCTCATACAGTAGAAACACGAAGGGAAAGGGGCAAACTTTGTTGGAGGGTCATTTGACAATATGCGTCAAGAGCTTTAGAATGTATTTCCCTAGGAATTTAACCTGAGGAAATCATCTCAACCACACACAAAGGCTTAGCTGAAAAGATTTTCATCACAGTATTTTTTATATTGGGAGCTCTGGTAGCATAGTGCTTAAGGCACTTGACTGCTAACCAGAAGGCTGGCGTTCAAACCCACCAGCCACTCCACAGAAGGAAGGTTGGGCAATCCTACCTCTGTAGTGATACTGCCTCAGAAACCCAAGGAGGGGTTGCTATGAGTCGGGGCCAACTCGACGGCATATGACAACAACAATTGTTTATATTAAGAGATAATTTGAAAACAACCTTCTGGTGTCCAACTATGAAAAACTGTTTAGGCAAATTGTAACATAGTCAGTCATTCATACAATAAGATAATTTAATAATTAAATACAATGATATAAAAATATTTAATGGCATACAAAGGTATTTACTGCATATTGCTAAGAGAAAAAAAGAGAATATATTTATAAAATCTGAGTTTTATAAATATATGTGTCTATATTTGGGGTGTACATCAAAATCTCAGGGTAGTGTTATAAAGAGATTTTTATCATCTTCTTTTGGTTTGCCTGCAATTTCTGAACATTCTCCAAAGAGCACGTGTGCCACTTTTGTGCCCTTGGCTTTTGACAATTCCACCCCAAGATACCTCCCTGAAGAAGTGATTCAAACCTTGCAGGTGGGGCCAAGGCACTTCTGCAGGTTGATTCGATCTACTTCCTGCTCCATTTCCCCATTGAAGTCATAATAGGCCATATCCCCCACCAGCAGGGAATTATGGGAGACAGGCAGAAGGCCACACTTCATGGCTGATACCTGTAGAGAGACAACAGGATTGGTTAGCACCTGCAGCTCTGCTCTTCTCTGCACTGGCCAGACTCCTCACTTCCCTCAGAGCAGCAGGTCAGCTTCTACTGTAGGGCCCTGGCAGTCTGGAGCTGGGGGTTGGGGGGAGAAAAGGGGGCCAATCACTCTTTTGACTCCTTCTCCACCCAGCTTGGGGTTTTGCTTTCATGTTGCTAATGTCTTTCCATCACAGTTTTCTCAGGAGCATGGTCAATATGTCACCTTTTAAATTGCTGGAAAGAATGCACTCAAGAGAGCTATTGCTCCCCTGCCCTCTGCCTTTGCTTTTGTCTTAGGACTCTGGGAGGAGGCAGGTGTGATAGAGTTTGCACCAGGCTGGTGGGAAGCAAGGTCCAGCGTCCCCTGGAATGGGCTCCTGGAGGCCCTCAGCTTTGGAGTCAGTGCAGAAACAGCCAGGACTCTTCACTAGCAGGAAGACCCATTAAGAAGCCCTATTTGACTGACAATGGGGCAAAACAAGTGCCAGAAAACTGGGTAATAACCTGTGTTGAATTAAAAGCCCCTGCCTGAATTAAGGGAGCTCTGGTAGTGTGCCTACCATTAAGTGCCTAAGGCATTTGACTGCTAACCAGAAGGCTGGCGGTTCAAACCCACCAGCCACTCCCCGGAAGGAAGGTTGGGCAATCTACTTCCATAGTGATACTGCCTGGAAACACAAGGAGGGCTCACTATGAGTTGCGTTTGGCTCAACGGCAGTGAGTCTGGTTTGGTTTGGTGGTGTAGTGCCTAAAGCATTTGACTGCTAACCAGGAGGCTGGAGGTAAAAGCCAAGGAGCCTGGTGAGCCTGGTAAGGTTGAGAAGAGCCTCCCTGCCTTCCCTGGTCCCACCCTGCATGTCAACCCCAGGCTCTGAAGAGATGCACATTCAGTGCAAACACATCACTGAGTCTCAGTTCAGATTCTGGGCTCAGAAGGAAGATTGGGCAACCTACTTCCGTAGTGATACCACCTTGGAAACCCAAGAAGGGGATGCTATGAGTCAGATCCGACTTGAAGGCAGTGAATTTGGGTTGTTTTTTGTTTTTTGTTTTTTTGTTTAAGTTCTCTAATTCTCACAAGTGGTGTGCTTCACTGAGGAAACAACAGGCCAAGTGGCCACCCTATCCTTCCCTGGGGTATGGTGGGATGGGGTGAAGGTTGGGGGAACACCCAGAACTGGTTGTCTGCTGTCTTTCCAGGTGACAGGCTTAGGTGCACATGGAGAGATACCAAAAACTACCTGCTCCTTTTCTTTTTTAAAATTTTTATTGTGATTTGAGTGAAAGTTTACAGAGCAAATTCATTTTCCATACAACAGTTCACATACACTTTGACTCATGATATTGACTGCAATCTCCCACAATGCAATAGCTCTCTTCCCACTTCCTCCCCATAGTTACCTCTTCCCTGTGTCCTCCCCTCCCATGCACTCCTACCCTCCAAGATATCTCCCTGTGCATACACAGCCCTTCTATTCTCCCATGACTGATCTCTCCAAGGCATGTATCTATCTAATGTAAATGTTCAGCTCATATGCCTGTCTTTTGTTGGGCTGGAAGCCACAGGAGTGGAACAGTTCTAGACCTGCAGGGCTGCTAGGGGACATAGTCTCAGGGGTTTCACCAGCCTCTACAGACCAGCGAACCTGGTTCCATTTTTTTATGATTTTGAATTTTATTCCACATTATTCTCCTACTCTATCCAGGATCTCCTACATAGATCCCCCTCCAAGTGGTTGACAATAATGGCCAGGCACTATCCAGTTCTTCTGGTTTCATAGTCATATAGGCTGATGATCACATGTTGTTACCAGGCCCTTGGACTAATTGAGAAACTACCTGCTCCTTGAAGTCTTCCTTCTACTATCTCCCAGTTCTGTGTTCCTGTTTCCAACCCTCAGCCCTCCTGCACTATGAAAAGTGGGCACAGTCCAGGGTCCCACCATCATGCTATCTCAGTCAAGACATCTCCTCCCCAGAGCCTGGGCTGGGTGAAGAGGCACAGGCCAGCAGGACTTACCTGAGTGGAAACTTGGGAGGTGCTGTCAACTGGGAACGTGACCTAGGGCTGTGTATGCAGCAGGGTGGGGAGTGTAGGAACTGGGGTAAATGTAACCTACCTACCCAAGACAAGACTTTGGTAGATAGGAAAAGGGAGAGAATAAGTATCCCCAGAGTGGGAGTTTTCTCTTTTCACCTTGGCCTCAGTACCAGGAAATCTTGCCAGAACTTTTAAATGATGAATTTGCTACTAGCTTGGATGACTTATGTCTTTCCCTCAGGGAGAATCTCAGAGGAACAGGCTGTGGGCTCAGGGAGTGAAATGGCAGGTGAAGCACGTGCCTGGCAGGAAGGCTACTCACTGCGGCCGTGGCGGGGGTGTGCAGGTGGATGATGCACCGCACGTCGGGCCTGGCTGCGTAGATGGCCGAGTGCAGGCAGAAACCCGTGGTGTCCACTGGGAAGCAGCTGCTGCCCTTCTCCACAACCTCTCCCAGGATGTTCACCTTGATCTGGGCAAGGGAAGAAGAGATACCAGTGGTAACAGGCAGGCAGGCTCCTCTCTCCCTCTCCTCTGGTGGGCATGGTGCACCTCCACCCACCCACTCTCACTCATCCCAGGGCACCAAAAGCAATGGCACCATCTGGTGTTGGGGGAAAAGATGGAGCTCCTGCCCTCAGTGTGCTCACAGTCCAGTGGTACAGGCAGACAGAAAGACAAGGAAACAGGTGACTACAGTTATTCAGCATGAAAATGCTAGAGAAGGGTTTCTCAAGCTTTGCCGCACATGAGTCATCCAGACATCTTTTCAGATACTGATTCAGTAGGGGGCCTGAGATTCTGCATTCGTAAAAGCTCCCATACATGCCTGTGCTTACCATCACAGACCACACTTTCAACAGCAAGGACCTAGAAGTGAGTCATTCACAGAAATCTCTAGAACCAGGTAGGAGGAGTCTTTCATCTCAGCCTATAGTAAGGGGATCAGAGGTTTCCCAGAGGAGGTGATCTCCAAGCTGAACCTTTTAAAAATTGTTTTATTTTGAAAATTTTTTATCATACACAAAGGAGAATAGAATAATAAGGATCCATTTACTCGTCACTCAAAAATGAGGTCTTAAAGGACAAGTATAAAATAGTCACTGGTCTTATAATCTGCTTTGACTCCAAGGGGTTAGTAGGTATCTTGGCTAAAAGTTGGGCACATATTTGTGTGTGTGCACACATGTGCATGCATGCATGTGTGTATATGAGTTTGAGAAAGAAAAAAAAGCAGCACTAACAGCTGTGAGCAGGTGGCTAGCCTGGCACTCACAGCTAAGCCAGCATGGTCTCTACGTAACACAAGCAATTTCACAGAACACCACCACCAGAGAAGGTCACCTTGTGACTATGATAAAGCAAGATGAAGGACCACTGCTTACTCACACCTAAGAACAGGCAAAAACAAGAGCACTGAGCAACCGCAAGAATGACCAACATCCCCCTCTCCTGGCTAGCAGGCACCTCACTCCACTCCCTTAACTTCCCAGATAAAAATTATTAAAACATCCAATAACAGAACTACCCTTGCATCCTGACAGCTCCCAAACTGAGGCAACCCCTCTTCTTAGAACCCTCTCCCAAATCCCCTAACACAAACCCAAACCCTGAAACAAGCCCCTCCTAGCACCCTCCTCCTGACACGGCCCATGGTTCCCTGGATACAATTGCCCTACAGTTGGGAGTTACCCTAATGTATTGACTACAGGTGTTTCCCAGGAATTATCCAGCTAGATTATAGTTTCTAACATCACCACAGCTTTGGCCCTTAAATCTGAGGCACTGGTGGGATCCTGAATGTAGCACATGGGGCAGCTCTACAATTTCCCCCACCCCCATGCCAGGGAGCCCAGGCAGATAAGATGGCCATCACAGGGAAGAGTCAGGCTCTGGTGCAGGTAGCAGGACATGGCAACTGAGACCATCTGCTGAAGCATCGACATGGTCAACAAATTACAACATTCTGTTTTAAGTGAACTCCATAGAACAAACATGACTTTAAAGTTGCCAGACCCCTGAAAGTAGCAGCAACTCTCCCACCTGAGGTACATTATACCTGTGAGTGTCCAGTGTTGACCCCTGGAATTCCCCTTTAGCTGTTCCACCATTTCAGCCCAACTCCTCCACTTCCTTGGATGTGTAGCCTGGTCAGAGTTCACTCTCTTGGATGGTCTCTTTATGACCTCATATATTCCTTGTGTCACCCTTAGATTGGTAAGCTGCTGTCATTCAAGAATCTCTATAGCCTACCAGGATAGCTACCAGTCCCTATGATGCCTCTGTACAGATGAGAAGAGGCACTCCCTTTTAAGGGCACAGCCCATGGGCCAAAGCCTCCTCTGTGTTCACTGCCATTGTTTAAATTCAAAAAAGAAGCCCAGGGCTAAGACATACACTTTAGTGACTGGAGCACAGGTTATATTCTGTCCTCTTCTCTCTCCCTTATCACAGGCTCCCTCCTGCAGTGCACGAGCTGCACAACCACACACAGCAGCCCTAAGTCTACACAGGTTTCCTGAGCATCTGATGCATGTGACCTCCAAACCTGTATCTCTAGGCCAGATCTCCTCTGAACTTATGACAACCAAATGCAGCTGACTTCTCTTGAAAGTTCCACAAGGTCCTCAGACTCAACCCCATGCTTCCAGTCCAATGGATCACCAGGACTTCCCACATACTTCTCCAATCCAGCCCCTCCATAGGAGGAGGAGAATGTCTTGGAGGCCCAGAATCTCCTCCCTGGCTTACTGTAATGGCCCCTAGCCAGTGGTCCTGCCATCAGTTTGCTTCCACACAGCTATCCAAGTGATCTTCCTACAATAAAAATCTGATCTCATTACTTATCTGTTTAAAATACTTCAATGGCTCTGCATGTCCAACAGAACAAAGCGATAGGCCTTGACAAGGCATTTAGTGCCCTTATCATCTGTCCCCTTCCATCCTCACCTCCAGACACTGAATTCTTGAGCCAGACTCAGCCATTTGCCTATCCTCCCAGATGTACAGAGGTCTCAGGTGACTCTGAGCTGGGAGCATGCTACACAACTACTGAGAACTCATTCATCTCTCCCTAAACCACTCGCTGCCACCCAGGTCCAACTCTGTTTGTTCCTGTTGGTTTATGAGGACTCCACTCCAGCACTATTGTTTGACCCTAGAAGCCTCCTCCTTCATACCTCCACCTCCCACAGCATCTGGCTGGGCAGGGAGCCCCTTCTCAAGGCTCTCCAAACTTCCTTTCTATCAGACCACTCTTTATCCTGAGACTTAGTCACTGACCTCCTTGTCTGTCTCCCCCAACCTGACTATGAACTCCTGAAAGGTAGAGCCTGTGTTGTCCTTGTTTCTGTAACCTCAGTCCTACTCAACCATGACTTCCTTGAGTGGTCATGTGCTCATCAACTACCCTTTCTGAGCACAATTTTCTTTCCTGTACAGAGTCCTCACAGTCTTGCCCTGCCCACATAGTCTAGTGATTTCATTAACCTACACTTTTCAAATGAGTAGCTGGACTCTACATTTGAGTACCTCTCAAGCCTGGCACAGCCCCAACATGGTATCCTGCTCTCCCAGGTGCAGGACACACCAGCCACAGCTCACATGTCTGAGAAAGACTGACCTCTTCTGCTTCTGAGATAGTCCTTTCTACTGCTTTCTTCCTTCCACCTAAAATCTTTCCTGATCTAAACCAGCTTCATCAATCTTTATACTACACCTGAAAGGAGCTCTGGTAGCATAGTGGCTAAGGCACTTGACTGCTAACCAGAAGGCTGGTGGTTCAAACCCACCAGCTACTCCTCGGAAGGAAGGTTGGGCAATCTACTTCCGTAGTGATACTGCCTCAAAAACCCAAGGAGGGGTCGCTACGAGTTGGGTCCGACTCAACGGCACATAACAACAACAACAAAAGGAGCAGGAGAACCAAAAGGGGCTCAGAAGCTACCCGTAACAGCACTGATACTAGACAAGTCTTGCATTGCTTTGAGACAAAACATTGGCTCTCATTCTAATATATCTTCCCATCCACCAGGCCTCCCCACTTCCAACTTTTGCAGTCCAATCCCAGCCTTTGCCATCCCACAGATCTGCTCCAAGCACTCCAGGCCATCTTATCTTGCCCTCCCCCATTGTGCTTCTGCCTGCACTTGCACTTGGCCTCCTGGCCACATCATGCACTGGGCACTTAGTTTGCTTTGATGTTCTTGTGTCTTCTCTGCCCAGACAGACTGTGAGCTCCATGAGGGAGAGGATGACCATGGCTAATGTGGAGATGGCCTGTCACCGTAGGAGAGACAGGGCTCTGTGATTTCAGGAAGGAGTGGGCAGTGAGGCACTGGGCTGTACTCACCAGGCTGGATGCTGTGACTTCACTACAAGAAACTCCTTTAGGGCTGATCAGGAAGTGGTCCTGCTCCTTGCTAACACGCAACTGGAGGAAAGACACAGACATTCAGGGGTAAGGAGGGAGAGGGATCATTTCCAAGGACACTCTGATTGAATCCCTTCTTTAACTATATCCACTGTGTCAAGTCTTCTTCCAAAGAATCCTTATCTCTCCCCTCACCCATGGAAGATGAAGAGGAATCCCACTTATTTGGTGCTAGGGAAATGGAGCTACAAGAGAAATTTGAAAACGGTCAAGGGCAGCCCTAGAAATAGGATCCAGGAGTTCTTGCCTCCTAATCCAGAGAAGCATCCACTGGACAGCCTATTTTAGGTGGCCATCTGGTGGCACAGTGCCTAAGGCATTTCACTGCTAACCAGAAGGTTGGCAGTTCAAACCCACCAGCCAGTCCACAAAAGGAAGATGGTGCCATCTATTTCGGTAAAGATTTACCACCTTGGAAACCTAATGGGGGTTGCTATGACTCAATGGCAGTGGGTTTGGTTTACAGTGGTTAGAATCTTGAAAGGACTCAGTGCATTTTAGCCAAAGACCACTAGCAGTGCCATGGCCATTCCAGGGGTCAGGTGTTATCCCTTTGGATTTTGTGGGTGAACTCCCAGCTCAGGAAGCTCTCCTCACCGTGACGTAAGTGTCACTGAGCTGGGCCCAGCCATAGATGTCCAGGAGTCGGTAGACACTGCTGATCTTGCATCGCATGAGCCGCTCCCCCTTGGCCAGGTTCAGGGAGTCAGCTGTATGGAGGTCATTGATGGGCGTCATCGTGGAGAAGTCTGCAGGGGGCAGAGGCAGGGACAGTGCAGTTCTCAGGGTTAGGGGCTCCCTTTGCCCTTCCGTTCCTTGCTCCCATCCTCTACAAATTTTCACTGGCACCACAACTGTAAAAGACACTTTTCTAGGCAAAGAATTAAGTATTCTTTACTCTCAGGGCTGAGCCTTAATACAGGAGGAAAAAATACACAGAATGAATATGATGTCTAATAAAGTCCTTTGTTTATTAGGGTAAGAATGGAGTTGCTTTTGGTCAAAAATCACAGCAAAATTCAAGGCCACGGGATGATAACTTCTCAGATTGGTAAGCTTACCATACAGCCTAAAAGTGAAAACTGAATAAAATCCAGAATAAATTTCTAAGTAGAAATGGATATATTTCATAAGTTAGTTTTAATGAAGAATTACTAATCATTAGACCTGCTATCACATCATTTTGGGAGCTCTGGTAGCATAGTGCCTAAGGCACTTGACTGCTAACCAGAAGGCTGGCAGTTCAAACCCACCAGCCACTCCTCGTAAGGAAGGTTGGGCAATCTACTTCCATAGTGACACTGCCTTGGAAACCCAAGGAGGGGTCGCTATGAGTTGGGTCTGACTTGACGGCACATAACAACAACAACAACAATCACATCATTTTAATTATACCATGTAAAATAGTTTCATGTCTGATTTGGAAACAGGGAAAATAGCCAAGTCAGCCAGGAAGAAAATTCTCAGCTTTTCTAGTAAGTCACAACTCCCAGAAGTCATTGTGTCTGTGGTTGTTTAAAGGCTTAAAGCCTCAGGCAGGGCATGTCTGCTCCTCTTGAAATATGCAGTCCATTGGATATTTTGTAGCTCTTCCTGGGAATGTTTTGGTAGTATGGATGGACTTTGGAAATGGGCCTGTGGGTTTTGATAGTCTAGTCTTCAGGACAGCCAGAGGGTCTGGGAGTTGTACCCAGTCTGTTCTATTAACCATGATGCCCACTGCCTGCTCACCTCAGGAAAGCAGTACAGGGTATCTGAGCCCCAGCACTCTGATTACTCAGTGTCTAGGAACCAATAAAAAAAATCAATAGGAAAGGACTCTGGCTTAAAATGGTATCTGGCCAGGAGCCTCCAAATGCTGCCTCTCTCAGCTTTCTCCTAAAAACTTTAATGGGATTAAAATGCTCTTCAGAAGCTTTCACTATCCCAATAAACCTCACAGCTACACACCATGATGTATGTCCTGCATCGAGTTTGCCATTAGCTGAAATGGTGAGTGGTCTTCAAATGTGAGTGCAGATGGCTGCTGCTGGACCAACATCAAGCAAGCAGAGCATGACCCCATGTCAGAAGCATGCACCCGAAAGCCTGTGCTGACCAATGTGATACACCCCTAGGGCACGTGTCCAGTACACATAGTTGACAGGGACAGCAGTGGTCCAAAGGCCCAGTTAGACTGACAAGAAGAACAATAATGAAATTCCAAAGTCAAGGATTTCTAGTTCAAGGTAACCAGTCTGATTTTCTCTTCCTCTCTGTGAGCTCCCAAGGAAGAGACCAGCCTCTTTGCTTCATCTCTGACAGCAGGACTTATGATGGACTTGAATTGATGGCCTGCCATGTGGTTTGGTAACATCAGGACTATGGCATTTTATTTGTCAACCTTGGGCTTGTTAGCCTCAGTAGCCAGTAGCTACCTGAGTGAAGAAAAGCCTCTAGCTTCAGTGGGTCGGGAGCAAGAAGCAGAGCTGAAGCCCAAGGTTGAGGGGCTTTCACCCAGCCCCCAGAGCCTGACACTTTGAACTTGGACTTAAAGCCTCCAAAGTATGAGAGAATAAACTCCTGTTTGTTACGGCCAGCCCATTTGTGGTATATTCTTGTCAGAGCAGCACTAGATAACCAGAACATTTGTCTCATTTTTTTATAAAATCAAAAATTATAAATGAAGATATAGATCAAATAAAATACTATGCCCTAGAAATAGAGTCTATACCCATAAATCATTTCAAAATCATCATCTTAGGCCACAAAAAAAACCTCAATAACTCCCCATCACAGAAATGAAATAGGCCACATTTCTAATCACAATGCAATAAAACCAGACTTTATTAACACAATATTTTTAACAATATAAATTCAACCACTTTCAAGTAGAAAAAAACATACTGCTGGGTGGCTCTTAAAATAAAAATAAAACCAAAATAGCAGGTGCAAACTATCCAGAAATTAACAATATTGGAAATACTATTTGTCAAAATTCATAGCATGAAGCCAAAGCTATTCTCAGAGGAAATTCATAGCTTTAAATGCCTTTATTATTGAAATAAATATAAAACTAAATCAAATCCATTTTGTCTGTTCTAGAAAAAATATAAAGAACAAAATAAGCTAAAGGAAAGTTATGAATGAATAAATATAAAGGCAAAAATTAATGAATTGAGAAATAGTAGAACCAATAAATAAATCCAAGAATTGGCTTATGTGAGAAATTCTGCAGACAAATACCTAAAAAGGCCGATAAAGAGAAGGCAAAAATATGCATCAAGAGTGAGCAGATGACTTCCACTTCTCATCCACAGTAGAAATTCTAAATGATAAAAATATTATAAACCACTTTAAAAAAATTCTGTCAAGTACCATGAAATAGATTATTTTGTAGGAAATATGTGACCAAAATTTACTCAAGACAAAGCAAAATGAATCAAAACCCTGGCTGAAGCTAGCAAATAAAATGTCCAAAAAATAATGCATAAAATTATCCCACATCTGGATGGCTTTACAAGTAGATAATAAATCTTTAAGGAATAGATACTTCCTATCTCATTTAAAGTCCATCAGAGCAAAGAAAAGAGTGAGGATCACCCTGATTCACTTTATGAAATTATAGCCTCAATACCAATACTAGACATAGCCAAAAAAGCTAAACAGCTGACCAATCTCCTGTGTGAATATAGATGCAAAACCTTAGCCAAATTCTGAAAAATCAAATCTGGAAGAGTAATTTTAAAAGAATGCAGTATGATTGGGAATGATTTACTTCAAGGATAAGAAAAGTTCAATACGCAGAAATCTATTATTATAATTTTGGGGGAGCTCTGTGGCACAGTGCCTAAGGCATTTGATTGCTTACCAGAAGGCTGGTGGTTCAAACCCACTAGCCACTCCTCGGAAGGAAGGTTGGGCAATCTACTTCCGTAGTGATACCGCCTCAGAAATCCAAGGAGGAGTTGCTATGAGTCGGATTCAACTCCACGGCAGTGTGTTGCATTTTTTTGTGTGTGTTATAATTTATCACATCAAGAGTTCAAAGGAAGAAAAGAAACACCCAAAATGCATTTTATACAATTCAATATTCATTTCTGAGAAAAACCCATAGTAAACTACAATAAAAAGATGTTTCCTTAACATGATAAGAAGGTGAATAACTATCTCAAACTCTCATGGTTAAAAATTCCATTAAATTCAGAAACAAGACAAAGATGATTACTCTCTAATCTATTATTAAACATTATTCTGAGTGTGCTAACAGATGCAATGAGAAAACTGGAAAAATAAACTAAAGAGTAAATGTTGGAACAAAGTAGGCAAAATTATGATTATTTGCAGATTATGTGATATTCTACACACAAAACCCAAGAGAAATAAGATGATATTTGAACTTAAACAAGAGCTCAATAAGGGGCTAGTTTAAATACATTTATCCAGTGATTCTCCTAAACACAAGCTATAACCAGAAAGAACATCAAATAGAGAAAAGATTCCTTTATAACAAAGTTACATGAAATAGCTATGAAAAACTTAACGAGAAAATAGTAGGGATGATAAAGATAACAACGAAGATTTTCTCATTGCCATTAAACACATACTTTGTTTCTGGAAAAATTTAAAATTTATTCTTGAAAATATTTTATGAACACCTAGTATGTGCCAGACACTATTCTAAGTCTAGGATCTTCTGCTAAGTTATAGCAGTGAACAAAACATACCAATATTTTTCCCCCATGGAGCTTACATCTAATATAAAATTATAAATTTATCAAATCTTCACCAAATTACCTACGCATGTAATGCAATCCCACTCAGAATCTCAAAAGGAATTTTTTTGAGGCAGGAGCAGGTACTTAATGAAAATATTCTAAAATTTGGAGGAACACTCATTAACAACCTGTGATATGCAGACGACACAACCTTGCTTGCTGAAAGTGAAGATGACTTGAAGCACTTACTGATGAAGATTGAACACTACAGTCCGCAGTATGGATTACCTCAACATAAAGAAAAAAAAAAAATCCTCACAACTGGACCAGTAAGCAGCATTGTGATAAATGGAGAAAAGACAGAAATTGTCAAAGATTTCATATTACTTGGTTCCAGAATCAACACCAATGGAAGCAGCAGTCAAGAAATCAGACGATGCATTGCACTGGGGAAATCAGTTGCAAAAGACCTCTTTCAAGTGCTGAAAAGCAAAGATGTCTCTTTTAAGACTAAGGTGCACCTAACCTAAGCCATGGTATTTTCAGTTGCCTCATATGTATGTGAAAGCTGGACAGTGAATAAGGAAGACCAAGAAGAGCTGATGCTTTTGAGTTGTGGTGTTGGAGAAGAATACTGAAAGTACCATGGACTGCCAGAAGAATGAGCAAACCTGTTCTGGAAGAAGTATAGCCAGGATGCTCCTTGGAAGTGAGAGAATGGCCAGACTTTGTCTCACCTACTTTGGTCATGTTGTCAGAAGGTACCATTCCCTGGAGAAGAACATCAAGCTTGGTAAAGTGGAGGGTCAGGCAAAAAGCGGAAGGCCCTCAATGAGATGGTTGACACCGTGGCTACAATGAGGGCCTCAAGTCTAGCAAGATTGTGAGGCCGGCACAGGACCCGGAAGTGTTTCAGTCTATTATACCAGGGTTGTTATGAGACAGAGCCAACTCAATGGCACTAACAACAACAATAAATACTGAAGAACTTAAATTAAAATATTAAAAAAAAAAAATTGTAGTCAAGTAGATTGTGACTCATGGTGACCCTGCATGTTTCAGAGTAGAAAGAATAAATATGTACAAATAGCCAAGAAAAAATGGCAAGTGAGTAATTACATGTATTTGTCCCATCAGGAGATAAAATATGGGGAAGGTGCTTCTAGGTATGTAATCCAAAGCATAAAACATGAAGGAAAATAATAGATTCAACTACATGGGAATTAAAGAAATTTACAAGACAAAATGACCATGAACAAAATTAAAAGGCAAAATAGAAACTGAAAAAAAAAGTAATAAATTTGTCATATAACCATCCTTATTTTATAAATATTTGCAAATCTATAAGAAAAAAATACACTAATAAGAAAACTGACAAGTTTACTACCAAAAGAAAGTCATGCCCAATATGTATATGAAAATATATTCAACCTCATTATTAAATAAATGCACATTAAAACACTGGTAAAGTGCTATTTAGCACTTATCAAATTGGGAGAAGAAATAAATGATAGTACCTACTACAGATCAGAGTGGAGAAAACTGCATTGTGGTGGGAAGTACATTGTTTCAATCTTTCTCCATGGTGATTTATACTTCCTTTAATTATGCATCAAAGTCTTTAAAATGTGCATATACTTTGATCAAACAATTCTTCCTCTAATACTTATCTTAAGAAATTAGTCATGAATGTAATCACAGACTTATTTAAAAGGATGTTTATTGCACTGTCATTCATAATAGCAAAGAGTTGGGACCAACCTAAAAGTCCAATACTAGGGAATTGATTAAATAAATGATGGCATATTTAGCCACAGAATAACACGCAGTCACTAAAAATTATATGGGAAAACCATATTTTATTCTATGAAAAATTAATCAAGATATAGTAAAAGTTATTAAAATCTTGTGTATTGTGATTCTAAGAGCTGAATAGAAGATTTCAAAGAGCAGCTCAAGCAGACAAAACCAATTACTATAATGAAATGTGCAAAGACCTGGAGTCTGAGAACCATAAGGGAAGAACACTCTCAGCATTTCTCAAGCTGAAAGAATTGAGGAAAAAATATAAGCCTCAAGTTGCAATATTGAGAGATTCTATGGGCAAAATATTGAATCATGCAGGAACATCAAGAAAAGATGGCAGGAATACACAGAGTCACTGTACCAAAAAGAACTGGTCGATCTTCATCCATTTCAGGAAGTGGCATATGAAGGAGGAAGGAGGAAGTCGAAGCTGCAATGAAAGAATTGGTGAAGAACAAGGCTCTGGGAACTGACGGAATACCCACTGAGATATTTCAACAAACGAATGTCCAATTGGAGGCACTCACTCAGTTATGCCAAGAGATTTGGAAGACAGCTACCTGGCCAACTGACTGGAAGAGATCCATATTTGTACCCATTCCAAAGAAAGGTGATCCCACAGAATGCGGAAATTATAGAACAGTATTATTAATATCACACGCAAGTAAGATCTTACTGAAGATAATTCAAAAACAGTTGCAGCAGTATATTGACAGAGAACTTCCAGAGGTGCAAGCTGGATTCAGAAGAGGATGTGGAACAAGGGATATCATAGCTGCTGTCAGATGGATCTTGGCTCAAGGCAAAGAATACCAGAAAGATGTTTACTTGTGTTTTATTGACTATGCAAAGGTATTTGATTATGTGGATCATGACAAATTATGGATAACATTGAGAAGAATGGGAATTCCCGAACACTTGATTGTACTCATGAGGAACCTGTACCTTGACCAGGAGGCAGTCGTTCGAATGGAACAAGGGGACACTACATGGTTTAAAATCAAGAAGGGAGTGCGTCAGAGTTGTATCCTTTCCCTACGCTTATTCAATCTATATGCTGAGCAAATAATCTGAGAAGATGGACTATATGAAGAAAAATGTGGCATCAGGATTGGAGAAAGAATCATTAACAACCTGAGATACGCAGATGATACAACTTTGCTTGCTGAAAGTGAGGATGACTTGAGGCACTTACTGATGAAGGTTGAAGAATACAGTTTGCAGTATGGATTACGTCTCAATATAAAGAAAACAAAAATCCTCACAACTGGACCAATGAGCAGCATCACAATAAATGGAGAGAAGATTGAGGTTGTCAAAGAATTCACGTTGCTTGGTTCTACAATCGATGCCAATGGAAGCAGCAGTCAGGACATTACACAACGTGTAACACTGGGAAGGTCAACCATGAAGGAACTGTTTTAAGTGCTGAGGAACAAGGATGTCTCCTTGAGGACTAAAGTGCACCTGACACAGCCATGATATTTCCAATTGCCTCATATGCATGTGAGAGCTGGACAATGAATAAGGAAGACCGAAAAAGAGTTGATGCTTTTGAGTTGTGGTGCTGGCGAAGAATGCTGAAAGTACCATGGACTGCTAAAAGAACTAACAGATCTGTCCTGGAGGAAGTGCACCCGAAATGCTCCTTTGAAGTGAGAATGGCCAGACTTCATCTCACCTACTTTGGTCATGTTATCAGAAGGGACCATTCCCTGAAGAAGGATGTCATGCTTGGTAAGGTGGAGGGTCGACGAAAGAGGGGAAGGCCTTCAACAAGATGGATTGACATGGTGGCTGCGATGATGGGCTCAATTATAGCAGGGATCATGGAGCTGGCTGGGATCGGGCAGTGTTTCGTTCTGCTGTGCATGGGGTCGTTATGAGTTGGAAATGACTCAATGGCACCTAACAACAACAACATTGTGATTCTACTTTTGTTTGCATAATCTGTATATGTCAAGAGAGAAAGGCTGGATAAATATACACCAAAATATTGATAAAGAACAGTAATTTCTGAGTGGTGCAAATGGTTACCACATTCACTGCTAACTGAAAGGTTATTGGTTTCAGTCTACCCAGAGCTGCCTGGGAAGAAAGGCCTGGTGATCTACTTTGGAAAAGTCAGCCATTGAAAATCCCATGGAACACAGTGCAATGGACACACATGGGGCCACTGCAGGTGGGAACAGACTCAATCACAACTGGGGATTTTTGTTTTTCTTTCTTTTTTTAAGACCACATGACAGTGATTTTTCTCTGTCTTGATTCTTTTCGTAATTTTCTACTATAATATTGTATAAATCTTGTTGGGGGAAAGTATTTTTCAATACATTTTTCAAAAGATTATGGGAGTACTTTCTAGCCTAGGAAGGGTTCATGCATAGCCCCAGTTCCTGTCTGTGGTCCTATCTAGGGAGGCTGTCCAGTGGGGTGTGGAGGCAGCCTTCAATGGCCTTCTCCTATGTGCAAACCTCCAACTCCAGGGAACTGAGGAAAGAGCAATCTGAGTCAGGGTTGGATGCTGCCAGGTGCCAGGACATGGGGATTTTCCTCAGGTTCTTCACCCAGAGCAAGAGTAACAAGCAGTATCCTCACTCTCAACCTCTGGTCCTTCATGCACAATAAGGGACAGAGAGACCTAGTATTACAAAGCTATTCCCTACCCACTGATCTACTTATTGGGGGTCAGATTAGCTGCCCTCTCCCTCCCAGAACAGTGTTCCTTCCCCCAGAAGAACCAGAAACAGGGTCTCCCTTAAGTCACCAGTACCACCCCTCCTTGCCCCCTCCCATTCCTGGACATTGTGGATAAATTTCCTGTGGGTCTTTAATTTGCTGCTGCAGCAGCAAGAGCAGAGCCAAGCATCTCCCTGGCTGGTGCTGAGCTCCCCCAGGCCTGCTAATGTAACTGTGCCTTCCGTAGCCTGGCAACCAAGCTGCTCTGGCTGCTCCTTCCTCTCCTCCCCATCCTACTCTCCATCTCTGCTCTTGGCAGCGCCCCAGCCACATACGTACTCATGGAAGATGTTGGGAAGACTGCATGGGAGGTGCTGGCCATGAAGTCTGCAATCTGCCGCAGGGCCCAGATGTTGGAGGAGTTGTTCCCCTTCTTCATCTGCTCCTGGATGAGGCCTTCCAGCTCCTCCCTAAAAGACTGAAGAAGGGCCCCAGGGAGCTGGTCCCACCACAGCCTCTCATGGGGCCCGTTCCAGCCCTGGACCCCTGCAGACACTGGGCAAATCCACTGGGACCTCAGGAGCCTCTCCAAACAAGGAGATACTGGGAATGGAGCCTGTGCCCCTTTGCCTTGTGGGCAGTAGCCCAGACCCCAGGTCCTGTGTCTCAGTGACACCCAAGGGACCCACACCAGAAATGGCAAGAGTTCATTTTAGACATTAAGAGACAGTTTTAAAGTAGAACTGTATTTAAAAAAAAGAAAAAAAAAAAAAGAACTATCTTCCCTCCCTCCATTAGCCCTGCCTATGGCTACTCTGGGCCTCAGTTTCCTCATTTGCTTAACTAAAGGTCATAGAAAGGGTAAGATGTGATCACTTCTGAGGTCCCTTCCACTTTGGCATTTTGGATTTTCAGACACTAGGCCACAAATAGGAGCTCTGGTGGCATAGTGCCTTTAAGTATTTGACTGCTAACCAGAAAATTGGCGGTTCAAACCTGCCAGCTGCTCCATGGAAGCCAGATGGGGCAATCTACTTCCATAGAGATTTACCACCTCGGAAACCGAAAGGGGATTGCTATGAGTTGGAATCGACTCAATGGCGGTGGGTTTGGTTTGGTTTGGTTTGGTTTGAGGCCACAAATAAGGCAGCAATGTCCACCAGGTGGCAGCAGGCCATGTTCATGAGGAAATAGGGAGCCTCTTAAGTGTTGACAAACCTGACCTCACCCCTGCAGCTCAACTTTTAGCCAAACAATAGACAGGCGTATAAGGTGAACAGTAACACCAGGGAGGTGTGCACTCCTTTGAACAATCAACTACAAGAGCTCAAAAGGGCAGCATTTGCCCAGGGATAAAGCTCAGAAGGTAGGACAGGATAGCAAAGAAGGGCAAATGGAAATGGTAACCACAAGGAGAAAGTGGGAAGAGTGCTACTACATTGTGGGGACTGTAATCAATGGCACAAAACAAAATGTGTATGAACTGTTGAGTGGAAAACCAATCTCCTAGTCATACTCTAGGAGTTTTCCATGATTCCTCACCTCATTTTTTTTTTTTTAGTACATTTCAAACCCTGTGATGCAGTTCTACTTTGCATATATGGGATCGCCATAATTTGGAGTGACTCCCTGACACTAGCAACAACAACAAATATTCCTGCAGGTCCTGAGCACATTGTCACCCAAGACCTCAGGCCCAACCCCTCAACGCTCCTGCACAAGGCCTGAGCTCTTACTGTGTGGTCTTAGCTGGGTCAAACCACCGCCACCGATGTGCATGCTCTGCCTTCCCTGAGCCCAGTAGTGGCCAAGGCAGGGCTAGGTCCCCCTTCCTGATCCCATCTGGCAATCATTTGGATATGCAGCTTCATCTTAGGGCTTCTCACCCCTACGAAAATGCACTGTTTCCTGAGGATCCCAAGCTCTCAGACAACCCCTTGCCTCCCTCCACACTGCTCTTCCTCCTCTCATCCAAGGGCCTATGTCACGACTCATTTGGCCCACACCCAGTCCTTCTCAAGGACAAGCTCCATGCCCATGCCAGGCAGGTACCAATCGACAACACATCTGGAGAGACACAGAGGGGACTCCAATTGACCCTTCCTCCCCCAGCTCTGGGCCCATAGCCCCCTGTGTCCTGTAGAACCCTCCATGCTTTCTAGCTCCTGGAGCTTCTAGGCCCTCTCCACCCTTGCCTCATGCATGCCAAACTCCTGTTTGCTCCAACAGTGAGTTTTTACTTTATGGTGTTTAGTAAAGGGAGCCCCAAGCCTTCCACTTAACTACCCACTGGCCTTTAGTTTACATAAATTTGTCTGTTAGTTCATTGCTACAGCTTTTGGTGGAGACCAAAAACAAACCAAACTCACTACTGTGGAGTTGGCTCTGACTCATGGCGACCCCCTCCTTGGGTTCCCAAGGAGGTATCTCTACAGAAGTATATTGCCCAACCTTCCTTCTGAGGAGTGGCTGGTAGGTTTGAACCACCAGTCTTCTGGTTAGCAGTCACATGCCTTAGGCACTATGCCACCAGAGCTTTTGGTGAGGAAAGAAGAATGGAAACCTAGGCTCAGAAGGAGCACAGGAAACTCAGGTGGGGCTTCCCTCTCTCAATCCTCTCTCCTCTGACCATCAACTCAAACTGCCTGCACATAGACCAGATTTCGCCCTCTCCAATGAGGGAAGAATCAAACACCCACGTTGCCAGACTGTCTTGCTCAGCTGGTTTAAACCGCAACCAACCCTGAGCAAGCGGAAGAGAAGTTACTTATCTTTCAGGTTTACTCTGAGTCAGGGCTGCTGCCACCCTCCCCTTCACCTCTTCCCATCATCTGCACACTCTCACCTCACCCCACAGCCCCTCTACCCTCCACCCTCTCGCCTTGGTCAGACCCACTCACAGGGCTCTGCAAGATCATGGTGACGCGCTTCTTCTGCTCCATCAGGTTGAAGTCCTGCCGCAGGTCTGCAGCTCGGTTGCGCAGGCGCATATACTCAGCGTCCTCCTCTGAGAAGCGATCAAAGTAATGCTGCGCCTGGGGGGGTGGCGGGGAGGTAGCCTCGGAGACAGTCTCTTCACTCATTTTCCTGATGGGTTTGCAATCTACTCCTGGAACCCTGCAGAGAAAGGAAGAAGATGAGCCTCTCCATTGGGGTAGCATTTCCTTAAGGCAGAGGGGTTGGATTCCGTTAGATTCACCATAGCCTTATTCCCAGAGCTGCTGCATAGAGGGCAAGACCAGGACAGCTGCATAGGATGCCAATCTATAAAGGGTGCTAAAGCATCACTACCTTTTGCTTTGTGTCTTCCCACTGGTGGTGACTCCATGTGTTACAGAGTAGTACTGTACCCCAGAGGGTTTTCTCGACTGCAGTCTTTATAGAAGCAGACTGCCAGACCTGTCTCCCGTGGTGCTCCTGAGTGGGTTCTAACCGCCAACTTTTTGGTTAGCAGCCAAGTACTTAACCATTGCACCACCACCACTTAAAGCATTATTTTTAAAAAACAAAAACAAAAAAAAACACTGCCATCAAGTGGATTCCAACTCATAGTGACCCCTATTGGGTTTCCAAGGCTGTAAAAACTATTAGACTAAGTAAAGGTTTTGGCATAGGGCTCAGGTGCCTAGCACCCCTTCCTAAATAGATGGCCAGGTTTGCACTGGTCATATTCCAGCTGAAGCAGACAGTTGCCCCATGTGGGCACTCGACTTGCAGACCTTGTTGAGCATTTGTACATGGTTGCTGTTGTTAGGTGCAGGCGAGTCAGCTCCAACTCATAGCGACCCTGTGTACAACAGAACGAAACACTGCCAGGTCTTACACCATCCTCACAATCCTTGCTATACCTGAGCCCATCGTGGCAGCCACTATGTCAATCCATATCATTTAGGGCCTTCTCCTTTTTCACTAACCCTTGACTTCACCAAGTCATTTCTACATGTTGTTGTTGTTATGTGCTGCATAAAGTTATTTACTCAGAATCAGTACTTCATCCAAAATGTAAACTCTCTGATAAAAAACAAACTCACTGCCATGGAGTCGGTACTGACTCTTAATGACCCCTCTTCGGTTTTCTGAGGTGGTATCACTATGGAAGTTGATTGCCCAGCGTTCCTTCCAAGAAGTGGCTGGTGGATTTGAACCGCCAGCATCTGGTTAGCAGTCAAATACCTTAGGCACTATACCACCAGAGCTCCTAAATTCTCTAGTAAGCCTCCTAAAAAAAAATTGGTGGAAAATTCACACACACACACAAAAAAAAAAAAAACTGAAAAGAGAACAAGAACTGCTAATGTGTGGGAAACAGTTTGCCATATATGACACAATGCCTAAGGCATTTGACTGCTAATCAGAAGATTGGCAGTTCAAACCTACCAGCCACTCCTCAGAAGGAAGACTGGGCAATCTACTTCCATATAGATTTACCACCTCAGAAACCCAAAGGTGGTTGCTGTGAGTCAGAATCGACTTGATGGCAATGAGTTTGGTTTTTCTTTAAAACCTTGACTTTGCTTTGGATTCTGGAACGGAACTACTAGGGAATCTGTTTCGGTAAAATATGTCTTAATGTAGAATTTTTACATTATTATATTAAACTTATTCCAAGTTTAAAAGAGGTATGCAATTTTTGCTAATGGAAAAATAGTTTCTTCCAAACCTCACTAAATAACTATGCAAAAATATTAACAGAATAAATACTGTTTAAAGAGTGCCAGGTTGCCAGGCTGCCCAGAGGCCCACATGTCTCAACGTGATGATTCCTGAAATGAATATCAGGGCAGCCTCGGGAGAGTGAAGCTGGAGGGAGCCACATATTTTTAAAAGGACTTCAAATCAGTTCATTCCAGTATGACCTCTTAATGAGAATTTGTATTTCCACTCCACATATACTGAATCAGAATCTACATTTTAATAAGATCCTAGGGTAAAATATAGATTCTGGTTCTGTATGTCTAGGGTGGAAATACAAATTCTCAGGAGGAGGTTAAGTCAGAATGAACTGATTCCAAGCCCTGGTTTAAAGGACTGATGAATAAATGGCTGTCCTCCATTACTATAGTGCAGGCTTCTCTGAGGAAGCAGGTTGCAGCTCCAGCCTCCACTCCCCAGCTGTGTGGCTCTGGCCAAGCCAGTCTCCTTTGTGTGTCAGCACTGCTAAGTCTTTAAATCTGAACTATGCCCCTCAACAGTCACGGCAGCTTCCAGAGGGTTGGTCTTCCCCCTGCTGGCTGATCTCCTTATCAGCAAAGAGAGCCAGGTGATTGAATGATAACTAGCTTTTTAATATATATAAGACCAACAGCAAATAATCATAAAATAATCCAAGAAGCTGGACTATATGAAGAAGAACATGGCATCAGGATTAGGTGAGGACTCATGAACAACCTGCAATATGCATATGACACAACTTTGCTGAAACTGACAATGACTTGAAGCACTTATTGTTGAAGACTGAAGATGACAGTCTGCATGCAGTATGGATTACACCTCAATATAAAGAAAACAAAAATCCTCACAACTGGACCAATAAGCAGCATCACAATAAATGGAGAAAATATCATTAAAGTTGTCAAAGACTTCATATTACTTGGTTCTACAATCAATGCCAATGAAAGCAGCAGTCAAGACATCAAAAGACATATTGCATTAGGCAAATCTTCTGCAAAAGACCTCTTTCAAGTGCTGAAGAGCAAAGATGTCTCCTTGAAGACTAAGGTGCGCCTAACCCAAGCCATGGTATTTTCAATTGCCTCATATGCATGTGAGAGCTGGACAATGAATAAGGAAGACCAAAGAAGAGTTGATGCTTTTAAGTTGTGGTGTTGGCAAAGAATACTGAAAGTACATGGACTACCAAAATAACTAACAAATCTATCCTGGAAGATGTGCAGCTGGGATGCTCCTTGGAAGTGAGAATGACCAGACTTCATCTCACCAACTTTGGTCATGTTGTCAGAAGACACCATTCTCTGGAGAGATACCATGCTTGGTAAAGTGGAGGGTCAACAAAAAAGGGGAAGTCCCTCAACAAGATGGATTGACACAGTGGCTGCAGTGATGGGCTCAGGTATAGTAGGGATCTTGAGGCTGACACAGGACCAGGCAGTGGTTCGTTCTGTTGTACATAAGGTTGCTATGAGTCAGAGACAACTCAATGGCACCTAACAACAACAAAACCACCAGGTGCTATTGAGTCAATTGCAACTCATGGCAACCCCATGTGTGTTAGAGTAGAACTGTGCCCCAATAGTGTTTTCAATGACTGATTTTTCAAAAGTAGATCACAGACTTTTTTTCCAAGGCACCTCTGTGTGGATTCGAACCACCAATCTTTCAATTAGCAGCCAAGGGCTTAACTGCTTGTACCTCTCAGGGACTCCTTAATATGCATAGGGAGATACAAACAGAAGAGTATTAAACTGGGATCAGGATACCTGGGTTCTCATCCTTAATCTGCCACTCTGGTGGTGCAGTGGATAAGGCACTTGGCTGCTAACCAGAAGATCAGCAGTTCAAACCCACCAGCTGCTCCACAGAAGGAAGATGGGATAATTTACTTCCATAAAGATTTACAGCCTTGGAAACCCAAAGGGGGTCATTATGAGTCTAAATCAACTAGATGGCAGTGAGTTTTGTTTACCTCTCTTTACCTCCCTAAGTTCCCATTCCATGAGGAGGTGGAGGGCTTGCTTATTCTCTCTACAACCCTCCTGGCCTCCCAAGTACTATTTGCCCTTCACCCTTGGTTGCCCAGAGCCTGGCTCCCTCCAGGGTCTTGGCTCCAGCAGCCCTATTTGCCCCAGCCTTTAACCTTCATTCTGGCCAGCAGCTCATTAAAAAGGAGGTCTTGCTGATGGCGAAGAAAGCATATTCTTGCCCTCGAACTGCTTGTGACTTCTTCCATCTGCTGTCAACACTCCACCCTTACACCCTTTGGGTGAGGGATGGTACAATAGATAAGCTACAGAGAAAAAATTTTTTTTTCTTTTTTTTCATTCTTCCCTTTAGGGACAGACAAATAGCAAGCACCATTCACATCAAGTTCAAGGAAAGGCACATGGAGAAGGTCCCCAAGGATTAGCCTAAAGCAGTTGTTCTCAGCCTTGGGTGCATATTGGAATCACCAGGAGAACTTTTAAAAGAAAACAAAACACTGATGCCAAAGATTTAATGGAATTAGTTTGTGATGTGACCTGGATATCAGGATTTTTCAAACTCCCCTGGGTGGTTCCAATGGGCAGCCAGGCTTGAACTACCACTGGCCTAGATGTTAAAAGCTGTGACATGTAACAGAAGGCATCTGTTCCAGGTGTTGGCCATTTGGGGCAGGACTGCTAAAGACAGCACAGAGACATTTCTAACCCAAGGGTCACAGCCCACTTCTCATGACTATCAGGCTCCCTTCTCCCTTCACACCACTACCTGGCCCTGCACACTAGGCCTGTGACAGCATGAGGGCTCCATATGCCACCTGGGCCCACCACTTCAAGGCTGCCAAACCATGACCCTGCTTTCATTATTTCATTCATTAGTCATCTCCTTAATGAAAACCCTCTCCGAATCTCCCCCAACCAGCATTACCCTTACCAGTCATGATGAAGAGATAGTTGACACCAGGGAATAGAGGACAGGAGAGGGAGTCTGCTGGGAGTAGCAGCCAAAAATGATTCCCTAAATAAATATTTTGAAACAGATTTGGCAGGTTGCTAGAATGGTTAATGTAGTACTTAGTACCATTTAAAGCTAGACACTTTCCTTTCATCTAAATGGAGAAAAGAGTAATTGAGTTGAAAGGGATGTTCCTGATGGAATTAGCTCTGGATTCAAGTCCAAGGCCTACAGTCTCACCCCAGTTCTGATTCTCTAGCTGCATGGGCTTTGGGAAGTCATTTCTCCTTTCTGAGTCTCACTTTGTTCATCTCTAAATGAGAGGTGAACAGAATGACCTCTGGGGTCCCTTGCAGCTCTGACATGGTGTGATTTGTCTGAGTTGGAGAGGGGCAGATTTATACAGAAAAGGCAGAAGGATGAATGATTGAAGTTTCCTGGAGCAAGAGACCTTGCTTGTCCCGCCACCCCCACCTTCCCTCCAACCCCTATACCTCTCCCTCAAACCAGATGCCAAAAGAGAAATATCTGGAAACAACACATGTGAGCAACTGGCAGCTGCCCCATGGGTTCAAGTCAATACACCATGCACACGCAGTGAATTAATAATACTTCACCTTCAGCATGCTCCCCTCACCCCGAACAGCCTCATCCCTGGAACACGAGCAATAAGAAGGAAATGCAAGATCAAACACAACAGAGTGCTCAGAGCCTCTCAGACATGCAGTCACGACCCAGACACTCCTGGGCCTGCAGTACTGAAGACCAGAATTCTTCCAGAGGTATCGCCCCGCTGCACCCCACCTTCTTTCTGTTGAGTGACTGACTCATCCAAGACAAATTAATTCACTTTTGCACTTTCAAAGCCTGAACTTTTGAAGTTATTTTTAAAACAGCCACAAGCAATCCCTCCCACCCCGCTACCCCCTAATGATTGGAATGTGAGCACTGGGGTAAGCTGAGGCCTGAGTTCCCAATGACTTTGGTCCTACCAGCTCCAGAAGCACCCGAACTCTCAGCTTGTCTGAGACTGGGAGCCTTTTAGTCAACACAGCCTGGGACTGAGTCTTCCTACCCTAAATCCTTTTTGTCCACTCAGGAAAAGGCTGATCTTTTTCCCTTCCCTTGGAGTGGCTTCATTTCCCAAGGTCAGATCTGTGAAGGCTCTGAAGCAGTTCTCCCCTCCCCAAAGCACCAGGAACCAAGAAGTTCTGAGCCTGGGGGACAGGAGCCCCCACCACCATGCCCTGGCCTGCCTGCCTTTCTTAGAGCCCAGTCACCAGAGGGCTGCTCCAGAGGAGCTCCAATAGGGGTGGAGTTAGAGAAACCCTGATTGCACCCATCAGGAAAACAGGGGCCCAGGCAAACCCTTTAGCTTTGCCCAGAGGCATCCCATCATGCCCTTTCCTTCCTTTCCAACAATGTTTTGTAGATGATCAGATTTGAATGCAGCATAGCTTAGTGATGAAAAGCACAGACTCTTAAGACAGAAGGTCATGGTAATATGGACACGAAGACTGGAATGATGCATCTACAAGTCAAGGAATACCAAAGATTGATGGCAGCCACCAAAACTAGGAGAGGACCTGAGCCTACAGAAAGAACCAATCTTGTCAATAGTGGCCTAGAGATCTCCCTTCCCAGTGTTCCCAAATTACCCAGAAAAATCAAATATCTATGCCAATGCTTCCAGACTAAGGGCATCTGGGTGGTTTGAACCACCAACATTTTGGTTAGCAGCCAAAACTTTTAACCACTGTTACCACCAGAGTTCCTTGGACATTTCTCCAGGAGAAATCAATTGGTAGAGGAAGACATCATGTTTGGTGAAGCAGAGAGCAGCAAGGTGGCAAGGCAGATCCTTGGTGAGATGGATTGACACAGAAGCCACAGCAATGGATTCAAACATGCTGGTGATCATAAGAATAATGGAAGACTGAGCAATGTTTTATTTTGTTTTACCTAAGGTCACCATGAGGAGCTCTGGTAACATAGTACCTAAGGCACTTGACTGCTAACCAGAAAGCTGGTGGTTCAAACCAACTAGCCACTCCTTGGAAGGAAGGTTGGGCAATCTACTTCTGTAGTGATACTGCCTTGGAAACCCAAGAGGGATCGTTATGAGTCTAGTCCGACTTGACAACACATAACAACAACAAGGTTGCCATGAGTTGGAGTTAACTTGATAGCAGCTATCTATTTATCTGAAGATCTACATGGTGGCAGAAATGGGAAAATGGTATAATGACAATTAGATGAATAGCGCATAACCTTGACATGGTGACTGTCCCTCCCAAAGGTAAACTACCTCAAACATACTCAATTCAAGACTAGACTGATCCTTTCTTTGTAAAGGTATAGAAATCATTAAGAAAATCTTGCCAGCAGCCAGCTTTGAGGAAAAGTGGATTCCAAACCAGCTTAGCAAAAGCTCCAGTACCCAACTTAAGCCTCCACAGAGGCTCCCTGGGAAATCAGGAACTGTTTGTAGTTTATAATTGGTCTTGTTAGAGGGTATTGAGGAACCTCCTCTAGCTTCCTCTAGACTCAGTACTCTAATCTTGTGATCCTCTAGATCTGTTATGCGTCTTACAGAACAATCAGATGGGCATCTTTGGTCTTAATATAAAATAGATTCAGAATGCTCTGAAGGAAAAATTTTATGGTTGATCTCCATGTACTGAGTCTGCATCGTTCAAGCTTTGGGGAGCAGAATTACAGGTTGAATTTCTTCTATAGGTCAGTGTTCTTTCTTATTGCCCCCTTTTCTCCCTCTCCCCCTATGTAAATGGATAGGTAGGTAAATGACTGTAAACCCATAGCCTGAAGTGAAAGGTGTAGTCTCCCATCTTTATTTTGACTCTGCCAGAGACTTCTCACTCACCAAGGCCCTCTGGGTCACCCCAAGTTGCTTGCTACTCCTTTGCCTCCATTCAGGACTAGACTGTTCTTTCTGTTGAGTGACAGCTCTGGGCCCAAATGAACTGTCTTCTACTACCTCACACTCTCCCACCCTGATGTCAAAGTTCAATTTAGAATCTTAAGTTGAGCTAGATTTCTGTTCTTTCCCTCTCAGTCAAATTATCTTATACCACATAGAGTTGAATAATGTGTGTGTTTATACTGTTTTAAAGAATTTTAAACTTTTAACAAAAAGTGGCTTAAATATTGAATTTATTATTTGGAGGAGAAATTGGTGAGGAAATAAGGGCAGGAATGCTTGCTTCTGTAAACTGAATTATTGTGCTATTATTTCCTATTAAGCCATTGCTGTAAATAAACAATGAGAGTATTTCCAAGGATTTCCTGGATACATAGATTGAATGTCTAGGTAATCTGATACAGAAAAATGGGACTAAGAAAATGGCATAAGGGGGATAAGGTTCAGGGAATTGAACTACTCAGTTACTCACCTTGATTCTGCCATTTGTGAACTTGAGTTTGTCTGTTTTGAAAACCCTAAAATTAAACCTGTTGTCGTTCAGTTAATTCCAACTCATGGGCAACTCCATGTATTATATAGTAGAACTGAGTTCCATAGGTTTTTCTTGGTTATAGCCTTTATGGAAGAATATCACCAGGCCTTTCTTCCACTGAGCCACTGAGTGTATTTGAACCATCAATCTTTAGGTTAGGAACCCACTCCGGGTCCCTCTTATTTTGAATAAAAACCATTCAATATATTTAAAAAAAAAAAAAGCACAGACTCTGAAGCAAGATCTGATTCACATGTCAGCTATGCCAGGTATTAGCTGTGTGACCTTGAGCAAGTTATTTGACCTGTCTGTGCCTTATTTCCCAATATATAAAATGGGGGTTATAACAATTTCAGTATTTTGTAAGGTTATTATGAGGATTAGATGTGTTCATATATGTGAAGTGCTTACAACAGGTCCTGTTGCATTATAAGTTGAGTCAGACCCGACTCATAGCTACCCCTCCTTGGGTTTCTGAAGCGGTATCACTATGGAAGTAGATGGCCTAGTCTTCCTTCCAAGGAGTGGCTGGTGGGTTTGAACCTCCAGACTTCTGGTTAGCAGTCAAATGCCCTAGGCACTATACCACAAGAGCTCCTTATTATTATGTTTTATTTATAGGCTAGGATCATCTTAGCATTAGCAACTGGAGCAATGAGAGGCTTGGGATTCCATTTTAAACTGGTGCACATTAAATAATTATAATTAATATGTTTTAGTCCAAAAAGCTAATTCAATCTTGAGGTATATTAACAAAAAGAACATCCAGAAAAAGACTGATGAGAATGCCTATGATTTTCTGATCAGATATCAGAGGGAACATGTCAACCTAGAGACCACAAAATAGAGGCTCAGCAGGATGCTGAAGACCAGAGGAGACCAGCCCAGGCATGGTCCTAGGCAATTTCTATTCATGGTTCATTTTCACTCCCAAGAACCACTTGACGTGGCAGATGTCATTGTCCCATTTTATAGACAAAGAAACTCAGTCACCAAAAGGCTAAGTAGTTTGCTTGAGGCACAGGTAATGGGTCAGTATTTCAGCCTGAAGTGTGTGTAGATCCTGCACACTGGCACTGCATCATATTATCCCCTAATATCTGCTGGCCAGCCTTGTGGAAGGGGAATCAGGCTGATTCCCTACAGCCTCAGGGGGCAGATCTAGGAACCTGGTGGGAGTTGTAGAGAGGCAGATTTTAGCACAGGGTTTGAGGGAGAGCTTTCTAAGAGCAGGAGGGCTCAGGAATGGGAAGGAGGAACAGGCTGCCTTGTTAGATGGTCAGTGCTCGCTCCTGGGAGTCAGAATGACTGCAGGGATGCTGCAAGGGGATTCTGTCACTGCTGGAGGCTGGAAGAGTGACCTCTAGGGTCTCTCTGAGTCAATGGTGGCTCATGAGTGAGCAGGAAGGGGTAATTTGTAGCAATGGTCTGAGTGTTAGGAACCTCATCCTGGTGAGGTGTATCCAACCAAAAGGGTACATCCCCCATCACCACCCATGCTGCTTACCAGGACGCTGGACCAGCCTCGTCCAAGGCTCGCTCTTCTCAGTGCTTGGCCTGCACACCCTGCTCCACTCTCAGGGATGCTGACTACATCTACACGATCTCAGACATCTGGGGGAAGCTGGAAAACACAAAAACGACAAACATCCAGATCCTGTCAGCACCGCCATGACTCTGAATGCTGTTTTTGCAGCAACATTTATTTTTGCAGCACTGATTTATTTTAAGAACTGCTGGGAAATTCTTAAGAATTATCTTAAATTGAATTTTTATGTTAAAACCCAATTATGTTTATAAAGAGGAGTGGGGCTGCTCTGCATGGGAGAGGGAGCTCCTGCGTGAGCCCAGAGGGAGCCACAAGTTGCTGGGTTGGAAGGAATATGACCCCCTTCCTAATGTACCCCAAAATATTTCACTGAGTGCTAAGAAACTCAGATGCTGGTGTGAGAAATTTTTGATGGTGTCTAAGGTGCAAAGCAGCCTGAATATCACACCTTGGGAGGAAGGAGGGTTTGAGAGTCTCAACGGCTATGAATTGGTGAATTCAAGACAATTTCACCAAAATTCAAGGGGAAGAAAGGCTCCAGCTACACATGGAGTTGCCATGAGTCAGAATTAGCTTGATGGCAACTGGCCAATACCTGGGTAATAAGTCACAAAATACCACTGAAAGAAGAATGCAAAGTTGTTCATATCTTACAAACAAAGGTGAGTGGCTACTTCAAAAAATCAAGGGGATCAAGGTCTTCAATGTTAATCATTAAACTGCTTTTCATTTTTAAATGACAAGTGATAGCTTTCCCTTTTCACTTGGGCACCCTGTTGTTCAGGTCCAGAGCTGAATGGGGATGTCCCAGTCAAGGCTGGCAGCACCCTCAGCATCTGTCCCTCCCCTCAATGCCACCATGTCTTGGGGCCAGGCTTTGCCTGTCCTGACCATTTGCCAGATAAGCTCCTTCCAGATGCCAACTGATGCTGCCTGGGGCAGAGGCATCTGAAAAGACTTGCCACAACAACAAGGGACAAGAACTATTTTGGTAGGTATGATGTATCCAAGAAGAGCCTTGGATACCTGCAACTATCAAGTCCCGAGTCCCAAACTAGAGGCACTAGCATCAGAACTGGACTCAGGAACATCCAAGTCCTGAAATGCTGTATCCTGGGTCTTCTCACTCCCCTGAGGAGGAAGCTGTGCCTCAGTGGGGTCTGCAGGTGGGCAAGGCTCTTCTTGGATACATCATACCCTGATGGCATAGTGCCTAAGGCATTTGACTACTAACCAGAAGGCTGGTGGTTCAAACCCACCAGCCACTCCTTGGAAGGAAGGTTGGGCAACCTACTTCCTTAGTGATAATGCCTTGGAAACCCAAGGAGGGGTCACTATGAGTCGGATCCAACTTGACAGCAGTGAGTTTGTTTTTTGTTTTTTTTTATTGCAGCTCTCAAACTAGCAAATCCAATTGCACATTGACTATGAGGAGACAGAGGAGAAGGTAACACTATACATTATATTGCATACAGCAACATCCTTCTCTCTCCAAAGTTCATCTTCAGCTATACCCCTTATCTGACTCCCTTACCCCTTCCCTGGCCCCTACCTTCTTCCCCTGGCCTCTCCACCCAGGAGAGCCTGGAGTTCCTCTCAGCATCTCCAGTTTGCATCCTCAAACCCTTGAACCCCACTCAGCAAAGACCCTGCTCAGGATTCACCCTCCTGGGAAGGCAGCAGCGACTATAAATAAAGAAGTATGCTTCCTACCACATTCTACTTCCCTGCTCTATGAAGACCAGGTGTATGTAATCACTGAAGTATAAAATTGCATTTTTATGCATCGTTCCTTGTGGCTCTAAAAAGAACAGAAAGTCTATAACAGGATTAACAGATGGCCAAGTTGTGGTCTTACTTTTTGCTAAAATCTGTTTATGCTCCATGCACTCTGAGGCGAGGGAGTACCTGCCACATCAGTGGAAGTCTCACACAGGAGCAGTCTGTATTGCTCAGCACCCTGAGCCCAAAGATGCCACAGTTGTCACTTCCCTTGCCACAGCCACCCCCTTGGCAGTGCCAGCCTCTCAAAGCCCCAGGCCTCCAGCCCCACAGGTCAACACCAGGCAAGGACAGCATTTGCTCCAAGCCTTACACTTGAACTTAGAGCCCAAACTCACCAATCCCTGAGTGAGACTTCCTATGCGGAGAGAAGAGACTGTCATGGCCTTGCTTCTGCTACTTTGTAGAAGACATGGAGACAACTGAATAAGGAGTGGACCACACCCTGCCTGGTCTGCTCAGATAAAGAGAAAGCTCATGGCTCTGGGTGGTGGGATCATGTGTGAAGCTTATCTTTACCTTCCCAAAAGACTTCTTCCTAAAAGAATTTTCTAAAGCTCCGTAGTGGGCAGGAAGGTGCTGAAGTCTCCTTCTGTCCAATCTATGGAAACTCCATTGGCTGGAAATACCCTTTAATCCCCTGAGAGCTGCAGACCCAGCAGGCACTTATTTCTGAGCATCCCTGACACATTCTTCTAACAAAGTCCAGTACATTTTTAAATCCTTCCAGCAATGGGCCCCAAACCTAATGGTCAGTAGGCCATCTTTGCCATTTCTTCTACTATCCAGGAACTGCACAGTTGTCAATGAATGGACCCAACATTCTTGGAGTCAGTTCCATTTCCTTTCATTGGACAAGCACAGTTATTTGTTGAGTATCTATCAAGTGGCCAAGCGTAAGGAAGAACTGGAATTGGGTGTGAGAGGGAAGAGATCTTAAAGAAATGAGACATGGCTCCTGCCTGCTGCTAGAGGCCCACAGTCACGTTATAGCAAAAAAAGCAAGAAAACAAACATTTTGGTTACCTAGTGCTGTGATACTGCCTCGGAAACCCAAGGAGCGGTCGCTATGAGTCTGGTCCAACTCAACGGCACACAACAACAACAAGTGCTGCTCTGACAAGAATATACCACAAATGGGATAGCTTTAACAAACAGGAGTTTATTCTCTTACAGTTTGGAGGCTTTAAGCCTGAGTTCAAAGTGCCAGGTTCTAGGGGCTGGGTAAAAGCCCCTCAACTTTGGGCTTCAGCTATGTCTCCTGGTCCTGGCCCACCGAAACTGGAGGCTTTTCTTCACTGAGACAGCTGCTGGCTGCTGAGACTGACAAGCCCAAGGTTGATAAGTAAAAAGGCACAGTCCCAATGTTACCGAACCACATGGCAGGCCATTAATTCAAGTCCGTTGAAAGTCCTAAGGTTGGCAGAGCATGGCAGGCTGCTGAACAATGATGTGGCTACATGCAGGGTTCAAGCGTGCCATAAGCTAGAGACCATTCCCAAACCTGCTTCTTATGTACAGGAAGCAGACCACATCCCTAAAGCAGCTACTCAGCTGCTTATGGTGGATTCTCCCATGGAGTTGATTGCCAGTCTCATCATGAGACCACCAGCTGCCCAGCCATTCAACCAGGCCCAGCCAAGCTGACACACAACCTTAACTACCCCAACAAACAAGGCCCTATATGTTGTTGTTTGATGCCATCAAATCGATTAACTCATGGTGAATTTATGTACAACAGAACAAAATGTTGCCTGGTCCTGTATCATCCTCACAATCACCAGCATTTTTGAGTTCATCATTGTGGCAATCCATCTCACAGCACATCTCCTATTCTTTTGCTGGCTCTCTACTTCACTGAACATGATGCCCTCTTCCATCAATTAATCCTTCTTGATGACATGTCAAAAACAACTGAGTTGGACAATGTCCCATTGTGACCCATGTTTTCAATAGCTAATTTTTGGAAGTAAATTGCCAGACCATTCTTCCTAGTCTCTTAGTCTGGAAGCTCTGTTGATATCTGTCCACCATAAATGATCCAGCTGGTATTTGAAATACTGGTAGCAAAGCTTCCAGCATCACAGCAACATGAAAGTCACCACAGTACAACAGACAGATGAGTGATGAGTCTTATATAAATATAGATATATAGAGATATGTAATCAACTGCTAAATTCATCACAATATACAGGCAACTGAAAATAATTCTGTGGTTTGAAATGAATGTGTTCAGTGCTTGTTGGAATGGGAGACTAGAAACCATAAGTCCATATTTATAAGGACCAGGGTCCTGAGTTAGACTTTTAACCCTTTTGTGACCCATAGGACATATTGTGCCCAGTTACATTTTCTGTCTCTAAGTTTTAGTGGGAAGCAACTATCCCACTTTTAGTGCTACTTCCACCTGTTGTTGTTGTTGTTGTTGTTAGTTACCATCAAGTTAGCTCCAACTTGTAGGACCCTATGTACAACAGAACGGAACACTGCCCAGTCCTGTGCCACCCTCACAATTCCTGCTATGCGTGAGCCCATTGTTGCATCCACTGTGTCAATCCATCTTGTTGATGGTGTTCTCCTTTTTCACTGACCCTCTATTCTACCTAGCATGATATCCTTCTCCAGGGACTGGTTCCTTCGGACAACATAACCAAAGTACATGAAATGAAGTCTAGCCATTCTTGCTTCTAAGGAGCATGGTGATGCCTACATAACTGTGAATCTGAAGAAATAAGCTGCATTTCACCAACCCCAGCACCAGTGATCCCTTGGGACATATGTGTCCCACTAATTATATAAAAATCCATATTACCTGAAAAAATTTTTTTCATTTAATTCAAAATGACTTCCATTACTGAAAATAGATGGTTTCAACAACAACAAAAAAATCAAAGCAGAAAATAATTCCATTTTGAAAGATTTAAACCAAAAACCAAACCCGCTGCCACTGAGTCAATTCTGACTCATAGCAACCCTATGGGACAGAGTAGAACTGCCCCATAGGATTTCCAAAGCTGTGAATCTTTACAGAAGCAGACTGCCTCATCTTTCTCCCATAGTGGTGGGTTCAAACCACCAACTTTTTGGTTAGCAGCCGAATGTTTTAACCACAGCACCATCAGAGCTCCTTTGAAGCTGTTATCCAGTAACAAAACCTATTGAATACAGATAGGTTCCTGGTGCTGTGTAAAGCCCTTCTAC